CTGCTCTTGCTGCGGCTGCAGGTGCGGAAGCCGTTGTGCCGCTGCAGCGAAGGGGGGGCATCTGCTGCTGCTGCGTTGCTGCTGCTGCGTTGCTGCTGCTGCGTTGCTGCTGCTGCGTTGCTGCTGCTGTTACTTCCAAACTGCGGCGCTGCGCACGAGGCCGCCCGTTTCGCTGCTGCGGCCGCGTGCTGCTGCTGCTGCCCGCCGCTGTCGCTGCTGCGCCCGTGGGTTGCTGCTGTGCGATTTCCTGCTGCTGCTGCTGCTGCTGCTGCTGCTGCTGCTGCTGCAGGCACTGCGCACTCTGCGTCGAATGCCTCCAAGCGCTGCACCAGGAGAAGTGCCCCGTGTGTCGGTCTCCCTTTTTTGCTTTTATAACTTTTCCCCTCAACAAAAACTTGAGTGCTGCAGACCCTGCTGCTGCTGCTGCTGCTGCTGCTGCTGAAAGCCGCAGCGGCAGAAGCAGCATCAGCAGCAGCGGGGCCGTGGCCACTCCCCAGCATAGAGGGGGCTCACGGGTGGTGCCTATTAGCTGACATGTGAAGACAACTGCAGCAGCAGCAGCAGCAGCAGCAGCTGCAGCAGCAGCAGCAGCAGCAGCATGGGAGTAGCAGCACCAGCAGCAACAGCAACGACAGCAGCAGTAGATTCAATATGAGTACAGCCGCGTCCATCAAGCAGCAGCGGCACACAAGGGCAGTCTAAAGTGCTGCTGCGTCTGGTGCTGCTGCTGCTGCTGCTGCTGCTGCTGCTGCTAGCTGTTGCTGATAATAACCAGGAGGTGCTGCGAAAGCAGCAGCTGCTGCGGAGGAGGAGGCTGCTGGTGCAGCTGCTTCAGCTGCTGCTGCTTCACCAGCTGCTGCTGCTTTATCAGCTGCTGCTGCAGCACTCGGGGGAGGCTGCTGGTGCTGCTGGTTCACCAGCTGCTGCTGCTTCACCAGCTGCTGCTGCTTCACCAGCTGCTGCTGCATCAGCTGCTGCTGCAGTACTGCTCTCTTCAATTCAGTGCCTTCTTTGTAGCGGTGTTGCAGCAGGACCCCGGGGGGTTTGTTTCGAGGGTTTAGGGTTTAGGGTTTGGGAGTCACGGGAAACCCCCGCTGAGGGCTCTCTGCTGCACCCCGAGACACAGAAGCAGCAGCACAGGGACCCCACACGCATGCATGCATGCATGCATGCGTGTGGGGTCCATGCATGCATGCATGCATGCGTGCGTGCATGCATGCGTGTGGGGTCCATGCATGCATGCATGCATGCGCGCATGCATGCGGCCCCGCATGCGTGCATGCATGCATGCATGCATGCATGCATGCATGTGGCCCCGCATGCATGCATGCACGCGTGCATGCATGCATGCATGCATGCATGCATGTGGCCCCGCATGCATGCATGCGTGCGTGCATGCATGCATGTGGGGCTGGCTGGGGCCCTGGGAGGGGCTGGCGAGTGTCTTTGCTGCAGCAGCTCAAGCGGGGAGTGCAGCAACAAAACCAAATTTTTGGTTTTTCATTTAAATGGATTTAAGCCTTTGCTGCTGCAACGCCGCCGGCAGCAGCAGCAGCAGCAGCTGAGCCGCTGCAGCAGAAGAGAAGTGAAGCCCGCGCGCCCGCGGGGTGTACGTACACCTCAGCACACAGCTCCGTGTGGGGAAGATCTTATGCCCCCAAATACACATTTGGGAAAATAAATAATAACTTTTATATTTACATAAAGTGCATTTATTTTTGCTTTTAAATATAAAAGAATATATATTTAAATGTATTTTATATGTTTGCACTGCAGCGAAAAGAAAAGAAATGAAAGCCCAAGGAGCAGCAGTTCGGCAGGTGTACGTACACCTTGGGAGGCCGCCGAGTTAAATTTAATTCTCCACTTCAAATTCCGAAATATTTTTTTAAAAACTAATTTGCTGCGCAAGTGCGCAGAATCTGCTGCTGCTGCTGCTGCTGCTGCTGCTGCTGCTGCTTCGATGAGCGACTTTCACGGAGGCTTCGGGTGTACGTACACCGCACCAGGTGTACGTACACCTGAAGCTTCTGCAGCACTTCTTTGCTTCTCCCAACTGCAGCAAACTGCAGCACTTTTAATTATTTCTGCAGAAATGATCAAAAAAGAAAAGAAAATCCATTTGATCTCAGCTGTACAGACACCCCAGAGCAGCAGCAGCACTGCTTCAACTCTGGCAGCTGACACAAAATTTAAAAACAAAAATTAAAAACAAATTAAAAACAAAAAAATAAAACAAAAATGCAAAAAGCAAATTCAAAAACAAAGTCTGTTTTTGTTGCAGTGCAGCAGCAGCAAAATTCAGCAGCCACGCTGCCTTCCCGCTGCAGCTGCTGCAGCAGTAACTGCAGCTGCTGCAGTTGCTTTGCTGCAGCGCAGCCTGCCCTGGAGAGCAGCCTGCTGCTGCTGCTGCTGCTGTCATTGCTGCCGCTCTTGTTATCGGGGCTGCAGCTTCTGTTGCTGCTGCTGCCGCTGCTGCTGCTGCTGCTGCTGCTGCTGCCGGGAGGCGAGAGATGCTGCAGCAGTGGACGCGCTAAACTCCTGCAGCAATCCAATGAGTCAGCGCCACCGACTCCGGTCACTGCAGCACTGTCGGCAGCAGCAGCTGCTGCAGCAGCTGCTGCTGCTGCTGCAGCAGCAGCAAGACAGTGAACACCCCAGCAGCGATCCCCCAGAGACCCGCAGGGCTGTGACAGGCAGCAGCAAACAATGAAGAATTTGCTGCTGCTTTTTATTTTCTAAATTGGAAGCAAAAGGCTCCGAGACGCAGAAGGAAAGGCCGGCGGAGTCGTCGTGCTGCAGTTGAGGCCAGTGCTGCTGCGCCTGCTGCTGCTGCTGCTGCTGCTGCGCTGCTGCTGCCAGTCCCTTATGACTCCTGGAACAGCAACAGGAATTAATGCTGCATCAAAAGCCAGAAAATGAAGAAAGAGAGAGAGCAGCAGCAGCAGACACAGCAAAGATCCCACAAGCAATCGAGGAGCGGCAGCTTCGACTTGCTGCTGCTGATGCGCTGCTGCTGCTGCTGCTGCTGCTGCTGCTGAAGACACAGCCACCGACGTCTTCTGGCGATAGTCCCTTTAATAGTAATTAAATTAAAGGGGAAATTATGGCAGAGGGAGTGGTTAGGACCTGCTGCTGCTGAGTGCAGCAGCAACGGGAGCAGCAGCAGCAATGGCAGCAGCAGCAGTGATGCTGCAGCACGAACACAGAAGCCGCGACGAGCCGCCGAGGCATACATGCAGTGCCTCAGCAGCAGCTGCTGCTGCTGCTGCTCTTTTCCCAAATTAAAAGCAAAATAAACATTAAATTTGAGAAATTGAATTTGTATTTGCTGCTGAGAGCAGCAGCAGCAGCAGCAGCAAGTGATCCTCTCCCGCGTCGGACAGGTCACTCTGCAGCCCTTGCTGCTGCTGTGCATCGACGCAGCAGCAGGCGACCCACACACAGCAGCAGCAGCAGCAGCAGAATTTGCTTCCTTTATTTTTATTATTTGTTTTCAAAATTTAATTTCTCCCGAGCTTTGTGCTGCAGGGAGCGAGCGTTATCTGCCAGACTGTGGGCCAGGCTGATCTGCTGCTCCCGCCGCTGCTGCTGCTGCTGCTGCTGCTGCTGCTGCATATGCTGCTGCAGCAGCAAGCTCTGCTGTCGCCGTGCGACTGAGACTTCTACTTATTTGACTTTCTTTTGAAAAACATTCAAGACTGCGGGTGGTGTCCTGCGGAGTCAGCTGCTGCTCAGTGTGTTGCTGCTGCAGAAGCCAAAGCAGCCGCAGCAGCGGAGAGCAGCAGCAGCAGCGGCTCTACGCAGGAAAAGCAGCAGCAGCTAAATACCCTGCAGATCTCTGGCCTCGGAAGCACGCGGTGCTCGAGCTGATCTGCTGCTGCTGCTGCACAAGAGGAGCAGCAACTTGGCAGCAGGAAGACAGTGCCTAGTCTCACTGGAAGGCGCTGTGCTGCTGCTGCTTCATCCGTGCTGCAGCAGCAGCTGCTGCTGCTGCTGCTGGAAGTGCTTTTCAGCCGTCAGCTTGTGCCTGCCCGCGGAAGTGGTGAGGCAGGAAACAAGTGCGATGGGGACTTAGCAGCAGCAGCAGCAGCAGCAGCAGCAGCAGCAGCAACGGCAGCACGAGACCGCTTTGAATTGCTTCTTTACTCCTGCTGCGTGCTCGGTGCGTTCACACGGGAGGTCCATCAAGGGCTGCAGCAGCAGCAGCAGCAGCAGCAGCAGCTGTTGCTGCTGCTGGCCTTTGAAGACAGCCTGCGGGGGGCGGTTGCTGCTGCGAAGCACCAACCGATGGAAAACTTTCGGCGGCCCGCGGGACAAAGACATTCGCCAGCAACAGCAGCAGCAGCAGCAGCAGCAGCAGCAGCAGCAGCAGCAGCAGCATGGGGGAGGTGGCCACTTCGGCCCCCGTGTGGCAGATGGAGAAGAGCAGCAATGAAGTGACCTTCAGCTTCGGGCCCTCAGATGCCTACAGCTACTTTACCCCCAACACTTCTGCTGCTGCTCCTGTAGATTCTTCTGCAGCCACTGAGGTGCAGCTGCTGCAGCTGGCAGAAGCTGCTTCTCCTGTGCAGCAGCAGCAGCAGCAGCAGCAGCAGCAGGTCGGACGGCGGGAAGAGGCGCTGCCGGGGGAGCCGCAGCTGTCTTCGCAGCCTTCTAGGTTGAGTTTTGAGGAGCTGCAGCAGCAGAATCAGCAGCAGCAGCAGCAGCAGCAGGAAGTGCAGCAGCGGCAGCCTAGGCATTCGCACACCCTCAGAAGCAAGTCAAGACTCATGGCTGCTGCTGCTGCTGCACTTGCGCTGCGTCCTTTCCAACGCCGCCACTCTACCTTAAGTGGCCAGAAGCTTCAGCAGCAGCAGCAGCAGCAGCAGCAGGCTGCAGCAGCAGCAGAGCTCGCAGGAGAGGGAGGAAAGAAGCTCTACGCTTGGGACGAGGTGGAGCAGCAGCGGCTGCAGCAGGAGCAGCACCTCCAGCAGCAGCAGCAGCAGCAGCAGCAGCAGCAGCGCTGCCGGGGGGGGTCTTCGCGAAGGCTGAAGACACTCGAAACGACCTGGGGTCGGCTGCTCGGCAGGTGGGGGGAGCGTCCTGCAGCTGCTGCTGCTGCTGCTGCTGCTGCTGCTGACGTTGCGGCTGCTGGTGCTGCTCCCGCTGCTCCCGCTGCTTCTGCTGGCTTCGCCAGTGCAGGTGAAGTTCCTGCTGCTGCTGCTGCTTCTACTGTTGCTGCTGCTGCTGCTCGTGCTGCAGCAGCTGCTGCGGGCCCTCTTACCAGCAACAGCGAAGCATACAACAGCATAGGAGGCACAAGCGTCACTTCCTTATGCAGCTCGGAAGCAACTATTCCTTTTGGCTACAAGCCCTCTTCAGGCATCTCATTGGCGCAGAAGCAGCAGCAGCAGCAGCTGCTGCAGCAGCAGCAGCAGCAGCCGCAACGCGATAATGCACAGACGCTTGAGCGCCAAGGGCACATGCAGTGCCTTGAGTCCTTTGCCTCTGTAATATCAACTGAAGGCGCGAGCTCGCAGCACGCGCAGCAGCAGCTGCTGCTGCAGCAGCAGCTGCAGCAGCAGCAGCAGCAACCCCTGGCCTCAGCCGCAGCGCAGCAAGTGCGAGCCTCTTCAGCTGGAGCTGCAAGAAGCGACGCAGCCCGAGAGGGTCTTTTTGCTGCTGCTTGTGTCCCGCTGCAGCAGCGGCAGCCAGGGGTTGCATCTGCTGGGCAGCATTTGGCTGCGTGGGAAGCAACTACGAATGAGGGAGGCAGCAGCACGAGGGCTCGCAGCTGCAGCGGCAGCAGCAGCAGCAGCAGCAGCCGCCACGTGGCACCCAACCTCTTCGAATCTGCACTAAGGGCGGACGAGTCAGCTGATGAAGTTGCTTCAGCAGCACACAGTCCCCCTTCCCCTGTTGCTGCTGCAACACCAGCAGAGGGGGCAACAGAGGCAGCAAAAGCAGCAACCCAAGACCCAGCAGCAGCAGCAGCTGCAGCAGCAGCTGCAGCAGCAGCTGCAGCAGCAGCTGCCCGGGGGACGCGCCCAAAGGCATCGCCGAGGCCTCTAGCGCCTCCCCAAAGAAAGCCTTCGTATGTAAATGGAGCAGGAGACGTAGACTGGGTATTGGCGAGTGACGAAGCAAGGCAGCAGCAGCAGCAGCAGCAACAGCAGCAGCAGCAGCAGCAGCAGCAGGAGCAACAGCGCCCCCATCAGGATGGCGTGGTGCGCCTGACGTCCAGGACAGCAACATCAGGCATCTACAGCCGCATCTTAAGGCAGCGAGCTGCCTCAAGTGCAGCAAATGCTGCAGCAGCAGCGGCGAGCAAGGGAGCAGCAGCAGCAGCAAAGACTGCCACAGCTAACCCAGAAGACGAAGAAGTGGTCGAAACCTTTCTGCTGCAGCAGCGCCGCTCGCAGCCGCAGCTTTCTCGTGTGGCGCAGCAGTTCGTGGGCAGCACGAAGCCAGAGGCAGCAGCACTTGCAAGACGCGCTGCAGCAGCAGCAGCAGCAGCAGCAGCAGCAGCAGCAGCGCAGCCAGCGCCCTCAAACCGGCCTGCCCGCGTCGTAGCCAGGAAGCGGGACCCCACAAGTCACTCTTCTGCTGCAGCAGATGGAAGCAACTTGGGGTACACAGGTGAAGCAGCAGACGCTGCAGCAAGCTCGTGTTCTGTTTCGCAGTCCCCCTCCCTGCAGCTGCAGCAGCAGCAGCAGCAGCAGCGAGCCTCACTGAAGCACGAAAAGCTGCGCGGATCTGTGGGGCTGAGTCACAACGACAGTCAAAGCACTCGGGTGACATCTCGAGGGACAGTGAGTGCTGAGGGCTCTGCAGCTTCAACAGCAACAGCAGCAGCAGCAGCAGCAGCAGCAGGAGGTGGGGCAGCAGCAGCACTGAGGCGGCAACACGCACTGTCTTCGACTCCGCGGGAAGCAGCAGCGCGCTGCTCGCCGCCGCTTTCTCCTGCTGCTGTGCTGCAGCACTTTGGCTGGCAGCTAACTCCTTGGGAATGCAGAGAAGTTTTGGAATATCCTGTAGTTTGGTATTGGGGAGCTCTTAGGGAAAGGCCTGCGGGAGGAGAGCAGGCTTCGCTGTACGGGGGCCCCTACACTGCTGCTGCAGCAATTGCTGCAGCGGGTGCTGCTGCTGGGGGTGCTGCTGCTGCTGCTGCTGCGTCTGCTGGGGAGGCAGCGGAGCGGGCGGCGCGGGGGTGCCGCGGAGGAGCGGGAGCGGAGTCTGAGGAAGCTGCTGCTGCAGCAGATGCGTGGAGCCCGTGCAGCAACAGCAGCAGCAGCAGCGTGGGGGGGCAGCGGATGAGCAGCAGCAACCGGCAGCTAATGAACGCGACGAGCAGCAGCGCATGCAGCTACTTCTGCGACGCCGACGGGGACTACATCGTGGCTCAAAACGACCACATTTGCTACCGCTTTCAGCTGCTGCAGACTCTGGGAACTGGGTCTTTCGGGCAGGTGTTTCGAGCTTTAGACCACAAAACTGGAGAAGAAGTTGCAGTGAAGATTTTGAAAAACAAAAGCAACTTCCACGCACAAGGCCGGGAAGAAGTGAACGTGCTGCGGCAGCTGGCGGCGCTGGACCGGGCGGGCAAAGCCCACGTGGTGCACATGGGGGAAAGTCTGATGTTTCGCGGCCACTTGGTGTTGACTTTTGAACTGCTGAGTCACAACTTGTATGCTTTTCTGAAACACAACAAGTTCCAGGGCTTTTCGCCGCTGGCCGTGCGCAGCGTGGCCATTCAGCTGCTGCAGGCGCTGCGGCTGCTGCGCAAAGCCAAGATCGTGCACTGCGACTTGAAGCCCGAGAACATCGCGCTGGTGGCGGGCCGCAAGAGCACAGTGAAGCTGATAGACTTCGGCAGCAGCTGCAGAGAAGGCCGGCAGCAGCACAACGCGTACATTCAGTCCAGGTACTACCGCTGCCCCGAAGTGCTGCTGGGGCTTCCCTACGGGCCCCCCATAGACATGTGGTCTTTGGGCTGCGTGCTGGCGGAGCTGCACACGGGCAGTCCGCTCTTTCCCGGGGCTGACGAGGCGGACCAGCTGCAGACAATTGCTGCAGTCCTTGGCATGCCGCCGCTGCAGCTGGTGCTGCGTTCGCCGCGCCGCGGCTTCTTCTTCGAAAGAAACCGCGAAGGCGCTCTCGTCTTCCGCGCCTGCAGCCGCCCCAGACGCAGCAGCAACGCCGGCAGCAGCAGCAGCAGCTCCCGCAGAGCACCCCACCAGTTCCTTTCCCTCGAAGAAGCCGTAGAGCCGGCAGAAGCTACTTTCGTCGATTTCCTTAAGGGTAAGCAGCAGACACCGGAAACCCCGCAGCATGCAGTTCTCTTCATGTTGCAACACAGACTTCGCTAGTGCTCCTTAGTTGGTCTATTTACCTTGTAAATTTGAAAATAATAGTATTAAACTTTATTATTTTGCTTTTGTCTTCTGCTTTCAACCAGGATGCCTTTGCTGGGAAGCAGCTGATCGCCTCACACCCAGAGAAGCACTCGACCACCCCTGGCTCAAGGAGTTCCGCTTCCTGCGAGAGCGCCGAGTGCATTAGCGTGCAGCCCTCCCAAGTTCCCCGAAACCGCTGCAGCTGCAGCAGCAGCTGCAGCAGCCGCTGCAGCAACAGCTGCAGCGGCAGCTCGCCTCCGCAAGCTCATGAACCGGCAAAGAGGCCAGCAGAGGCAGCAGCAGGGTCTCATTTGCTGCGCACGTGAATTTAGGGGTTTGTTTTGACAGATGCATTGGGTTGCACTGAGTAGTTCTGTGGCTTGGCCCTTGCTTTTGTGCTAGTACAGAAGCGCGTGAACACACGCGCCGTATCGACGGCTTGATTTTTTTCAGTTTGCATTAATAATATTCATTTTTCAGACTCTGGCCGTATGGAAAGCTTGACCCAGCTTTCTTTTGTCAGTAACCAGGTATGCGAACTTTTGTGGCCACGGCCTTCCGGTAAGGTTTACTGCTTTTCATCGGAAACCGGGGGTGAAGGCCGCTGCATAAAGAATTTGATTATTTAGTTTATTTTAGACACACAGAGCACACATTTCGTATGTTCATTCAAACAAAGTGTTTCGCTACACCAATCTGCTGCAACAAACGTTGTACAGGAGCTCATTTCAACGTATCTACCGGAAAAAGATGAAAAAAGCAGAAGTGATTTCGCTTAATGGTTTAGCGATCGCACTGAGCACGTGTAACAGCAATGATGAGGGTTAGCCTGTGCAGTCTGGAATGGAATGAAGCTCTTAAATGTACGCAATGCAAGACATTAGCGCATGCGGACAGCATGTATGCATGATGCACTGAGTTGAAGCCATATTGGTTCAGACTGCTACTAGTTAGAGGGGCAGTAGTTGGCAGCATGCTTGCCGAACATACTTGCTGTGGCATTTTTGAAGTTTTGAGCCAGTTAGAGTATAAAGTCGCTGGTGTTGGATTGACCAGAAATTCGTTTACCTACTAAGGGTGGTTTTTTCAAACCCTGCATTGTGAGCTCCCTGAAACACCCCCTGCAACCACTTCTTAATAACATGCAGCTCTATGCCTAATTGCGATATTCTGGCAGGATATCTGCAACCACTTCTGCAAAAGGGAAGTTAAAACTTAGCATTGAAAATGAGCACGAATCACAGGTCGTGCTGCGGATTCAGTCAAGTCAGCCGTGATACCGTCCGTGTACTCTAGTACGTTTGCGGAATGCTTCCTCATCACCAGGACGAAAAGCATGTCAGCAAAAAAAAGGGTTTGAGATATTTGTTTACACCCAAACAGAGCAGTGAGACATTGAGCCTAATGCAGCATGGACTGCTCATGTGTACAAAGCGGCAGATGCTGGGCCAAATATGAACAAGAACACCGGCAATAAGAATTTCAAAACTGAGAGTTAGCAAGATCATGAGGTGCCCAACTAGTGGGACCCGCTTACGCTTCTAGCCTCCCTGCAGAATGTGCGTGGCGATTGCGTTTAAACCCCAAATCCAGAATTTTTCCACTTTCTGTCAATGTTCCAAAACGAATTCTTGCAACGAATCGTCCACACAACATTGTTTGCATGGTTTGAACATCCAGTGGGCATTCATCAATCGTAGAAAAGAACACACGTGGCTATTTTCAAATGCACAGCTTGTCTAACCCCATCTAGCTCTGCCGCTTTGACGTGCATGCACTTCCCCAGCAGTAATGCAGCCGTTTCAAGCAAATAGACTGCGTCTGGAAACCCAAAAAGAACGCACACTTACGCTACTCATGTTGCTTTTTGTTCACATCGCACTAAGCTGAAAGGAGATGCAACAGCGAGCTGCGCCTATCGATGTGTTGCCCCCTGAAAGTACCATGATGTGGAAAACAGTATGTTCTCTGCGTTTTCTGTAGCACTGGTCACTTCGGCGCACTGTCAAGGTGCTTTTCGTATCGTTGGCAAGACCAGTTACTGTTTTTTTTGAGTCAAAAGTAGCTGGCAGCAATATGGCGTTCCAAACTTGTGACTATACGACTACTTTACAGGCTTGCTGCAAGTGCATGAGCAGTGCTCTCACGCACTGCTCCACTTTTAACTAGATACTTCGTCACTTCGGAAGTCTGTTCCTCCCAATTCTTTAGTTTTCCCCCAACGGCTTTGTCTCGTTGTCTGTGCTGCGTTTTTCTTTAGCTTACGTCCTTACTGGGAGGTCTGGATGCTCATAAAGAAGCCGTCATTCGCTGCTGCTGCTATTCTGGTGAGGGAGAAGCTAGAGCCTTCTTTGACATCTTCGTTCCTTTCAAATTCCTCTCTGTTGCATTCCACGCTCTGCTGTGCTCTCGAATGATCTAACCTGCTTCTCTAAATCTATGGAGGGCCTGACACTCACTGCACGTCGCAGGTAAGGTGCTCTTTAGCACCATCCTCTCTACAACAGTTTGAATGGCAGCCAAACTAATCGATTTAAAAAAGGAAATTAACGTGGCGCATACAAGTGGCTTTATTTCGCTACTCCGCGCGCCGACAAACACTACATATTTTTCGCGCTGCTGCAGCATCGCCACGCCAGATGTTCAAGTTTGCAATGGCAAATTGCAGATCACTACCGCAAAGCCTTTCATTGTTTAGGGCACTTTACATATACTCAGTCCATCAGATTCGCCCGGACTAGAGCTCCTCCTTTTGCCGCTGTGGCTCCTGCGATGGCATATGCTGGCCCGGTGGCTTCTGCTGCTGCAGCAAATGCTTGATGGCTTCGAAAGCAAACTTTGCCTCAAGTGCTGCCCCCACCTGCAGCACTGCCTCATCTGCAGCAAACTCCGGGTGGTGCAGCCCAAAGGTTGTTGGGACGTGTCCTGCCTTCTCGGCGCCGCTCCTAAGCACGTCGCCAATAGCACAGCATCAGGAAACAAATGGCATGACATCAGGGAACAAGTAGCACAGCAACTGGAACCAACCAGCACAAAACTGGGAAACAAGCAGCACAGCCTCTAAAAAAGCCAGCCTCCAATTCAATGGAAAAGAGCGCCAAAAAGTGGCAGAGCCACGACATTTATGCGGAGCCACGAAAATTGACATGATTGGCACGTGTACTCTGGCTGCGAAGAAGCAAATCGCTGTCAGCAGCGGGATATGAGCCAAACAAGGCGATCAAGAATGTTGCTATCGAAGAAATAACAAATGAAACAGCAAGTGCGCGGCCAGCACACGAGTGAAAACGCACCCAATGCCGATAAACGCAAATGCTCCGGGAAGCTTGTCCAGCACAAAGGCAAAGTCTTCGCCACCGTAGGTCGGCTCCATTGTCAAAACTTGACTGCCCGCAACTATTCCAGAAGCAGCCTGACAATAAGCAGGCAATGCAGCACAGCAAGCCACAGCATGTTGCTTCGCCCAGGCACAGACACAGCAGCAGGCGACAGGCAGGCGCGGCAAGCAGCAACAGCAGCAAAGAAGCAACAGTGCAAACAGCAGCAGCAGGGCGGCCATTTGAAGCAGCCATTTCAGCTACGAACAAAGTCGCGCAACTGCAGCACCGCAGCATCAATAGCCCTGCCGCGCAGCCACAGCAAAAAACGCATACCTCCTGAAGAACAGCCAGAGCCTCTGGATGCACACGAAGTGCTGGCGTGTTGGTAAGCAAACGGATGACTCGTAGACTGCAACGGAAGGCTTCAGCTGTGCGTTGGACCACTTGGCGCAGTCGTAATTGCAGCTCCCGCAGCTTCTCATTGCTAAACGCCCTAATAGTTCCTTTCAATGTGCATTTAGACGGAATCACATTGAAGGCACTGCCCGCCTAGAAGACACGTGAGACACACAAATGCATTCTAGAATCGGCCCACAGCCCCTGTTTCAACTTATTACATGTAGATCTCGCTCTCATTGGCTGCCCGCACAACTTCTTTTTCTGCGCCATCCTGTAAGTATTCCATTTGCTGCTGATTAGCATTACTTTTTACTGTTGTGAATATCATGCTTCCGGAGTGCTCGCCCTCTCCGCCTCAAGTGGCTCAGGCATGCAGGAAGAACAATTGCAGGTGAACGGGAGGGAATTCGTGTCTTTCTAACCTGGATCTGCGTGACTGAGACAAATCCGGAAGACTCCGCCGAATAGTCATTTTCTCTTGCTACAAATGTATTTATATTCTGCACGGCGGCAGCGCATGCAGCGATTGGGTCGTGTGTCTCAAATGGCATTGCGCCGTGGCCGCCAACCCCCACGACCTCAAAGTGAAAGCTGTACAAACACCATAAATGAAACAAAATACATGCAAAGGGAAAAAAGGCAAGGGCAGTCGAGTGATGAAGCCAGAGGTAGTGCGACAGAAATAGAGAAATAGGCAAAGGAACACTGCGTAGAGCGTGACAGATGTGAAAGAGCAAACACAAAGAAACAGCGCAGAAGATACAGAATAAAAGATGAATAAGAATGCCCCAATACGGGCACACAAAGAGGCGGGAAAGCGAAGTCGTATGCAAGGAAAGATACACAAAAGGATTGCTGAGAACCTGACGCTGATAAGAAGGAAGATCGTTCAAAAATCAAAAGTTCTGGAAAGCTCTGGTGTTTCTAATTGCCTTGTGCCGCCCGCAATGGAGGCAAAAGAGCTTTCTCACCTTGCAGTGGCAGCCATGAGGCTTCCTGTTCTGGAGGCGAGAGCCCCCGTAGGCAGCTGCGGTGCAACATGCAAGCCCAGAGCCAGGCTGGCTGCTGGCTTCTGCTGCAGCAGGCCTTCTTCCAGCATCATGCGGGCCCCCTCGCCTCCCTCTTCAGCAGGTTGAAACACCAGCCGGACTGTGCCCTGTTGGGAGAAGCAAAAGCAGTTCACTGCAGCCTCTGCTGCCCGCTGCTGCTGCTGCTGCACTTGCACTTGCCCGCAACGCTGCTGCTGCGGAAGCCCGAGAAAGCGGCGGCTGCAGCAGCAAAAAGGCTAACTTTTCTGGCTTAAAACACTAAAATGAAAAGCAGCTAAACTGGAAACTCCAGTTTTACAAACCTTCAATGAACTTTCGTTCTTCTTCAGAATAGCTGCAGCCATAAGAAGCATAGTAGTGTGCACGTCGTGGCCGCACGCATGCATTTTCCCGAGCACTTCCGACTTGAAGCCCACGTCAGCCTGCAGCAGCAGCAGCAGCAGCAGCAGCAGCAGCAGCAGCAGCCACGATGAGAGGAAGAACTGAGTCTATTTCGTGAAAAAAGATATCAGCTGCAGCAGCAAGAGAAGCAAACGGCCACAGGCAGCACTGACAGCACCTGCTCCACTATTGGCAGCGCATCCATATCAGCTCGCAGCAAGACACAGGGGGCCTCTCCAGTTCCAATCTCAGCAACAACTCCCGTGCCCACGACTCCTGCTTCCTGCTGCTGCTGCTGCTGCTGCTGCTGCTGCAGCTCCTGCAGCTTCTGAAGGTCTTCAGCATCTCCTCGCTCAGTCGATGGCTCCAGTAGTGACTCGTCCACAAGAGATGTGCGGCGATCCCGGCCCCAGCCCGTTGTGTGCTTTATACCTAACTTCTGCAGCAGCAGCAGCAGCAGCAGCAGCGGAGGCAGCAGCAGGAAGCCGAGGTCTCACATGAGCACGGCAGGAGCTGCATGCAGCAGCGAACGCGAAGGCAGCGGTGCTGGTGCCCAGGCGGAGTTTGGAGAGAGGCGCAGCAGCAAAAGAAGCAGCTGTTACATCTGTTGCCTGTGCTGCCGTTGCTGCTGCTGCTGCTGCTGCTGCTGCTGCTGCTGCTGACGCGACTGGGGAAGGCCTCACTGTGAGCACTTGCTGCACCAGGATTGAAGTCTGCAGCTCCTCGTACATCAGCTCGGGGTGTCTGTGCAGCTGGCGACGAACTGCTGTGCCCCAGTCTTGCAGAGCAGCAGCTTGCTGCAGCACGCATGCATGCGTGGGGGGAGATCCACATGGCGGGATGTCTGGAATGCTGGTAAGTGCTTCGGCAGCTGCTGCTGCTGCTGCTGCTGCTGCAGTCTCAGCGCGTTTGGCTGCTGTTGCCAGAAATATCAGAACACAGATGCAGCGAGACAGGCGACGCGAGCGCAGCATTGTCACTCAGTGCTGCTGCTGCAGGTTTGCTTCGACTGCTGCTGCTGCTGTGGCCGCCGTTCGCGCTACGCCGCTACTCCTGCTGCTCTCTACTGCTGGTTCTTCAGCAGCAAACCTACAGAGCAGCTCAAATGTGCTGCTTGCTTAAGTGCTGCTGTTCGTTGTCTAGCTGGGTCCCGAGGAAGAACTGGAAACGGCGCGAGCGATGCGCTCGTCCGCCGGTTTAGAGCACTAGAATGGCATAAAGCAACTAAAAGACACAAAGACACGCTCTCACCTAGCTGCTAGTGCAGCAGCAGCAGCAGTGGTTGCGCATTTGTGGCTGGCAGCAACGGCAGACAGCAGGTGTGTGACAGTGTGTAGCAGTCTTCCTAACGCAGCACTTGGGATGTCCCAGAGCGTGGCTTCCACGCTATTGCCGCCTAAGAAAGTATTCCGAGCGCCAAGCTCTTCAGGATTTATATTTAATTTAAAGTTTGACGGCCCGTAGCTAGCGAGGGGGCCTCCAAGGGGCCTCCGTAACACCACTGCGTTTCGATCTCCGTCTCCGCTCTTGGCCCTCTCTCTGAGCCATTTGGTCCCCAAGAGTTGCTGCGGAAGCAAATAGCATTCCCGTTCGTTTGTAGCAAGAACAAACTACTCCATTCTCCGTGTCTACTTGACTTAGTTAGTACAACTTTTCAGCCCTCGGATTCACGGTGTGCGCGGTGCTGCGCGCTACTACTGTTCTGGCCTTGCTGCTGGGACGCGTGGGTTTTCACGGAAAGTCGGCTTCTCCCGCCTCCGATTCTTTGTTCAATTTCCACATGGCAAGCATGTTTTGGTGAGCGGTGGGTGTTTGGAATATTGTATCTCATAAGTCTTGCGTGGCGGCGACACAGCGCCACCGCGGACGCAGGGAGAGGCATTAACCGGCTGCCGCTCTGCTGCACCGTATTTTTCTCCTTTTTTTTCAACATCTCTTCGTTTGATGCCACAGACCGTCTTTTCTATGCCTTTGCATATTGGCTTCTCCGCTGCAACGGTTGCAACAGCAGCAGCTGCTGCAGCAACCTCCGGCCCGGTCGTGTTGCGCAGCGCTCTCACCAGTGCGTAGATTGTCACCTTCTCCGGGTTCGCATTCAGCTGCTGCAGGAGAAGAAAAGAGCATTGGCAGCAGCACGAACAGCAGCACGAACCTGAAATCCCTGCTGCGCCGTGATGCAGAAATGTTTACGGGCCACAGGCGGTGAGGCCGCTGCTGCAGCTGCAGACCTCGGCAACAGCAGCCTGTCTTCGGAGCCGAGCAGAGAGAAGGCAGCCACGGGGCCGAGCCGGTGGAAGCACTTGTTTTGCTCGGGCAGCAAAACAGGAAGCAACGTGGAGCAGCAGCAGCAGCAGCCGCAGCAGCAGCCGCAGCAGCAGCATGCAGAGGCCCTGCCGCCGTCCACCTCGGACAGCAAGACTGGACTCACGCGGCGGCTGCTGTGGCACCAGCGGAAGCACCACAGCTGCCCAACAGCAGCGCCTGCTGCAGCGCTGGCGGCCGCGAGTGCGGACTCAGCAGCAGCAGGCGGCGAGGCAGCAGCAGCAGGCAGCGCGTCGGGCGCAGCGCAGAACGGGCGCGCGGCTCCCGCTGCTGCTGCTGCAGCAGCAGCAGCAGCAAACTCGCTGAACCCGCGGCACAGCACCTGCCCCCCCCTCATCCGCGGCCGCAGCGTGAGGTTCGGCCCCGCAGAAGTCCGCGAGTTCCTCCCTGACACTGAGTCCGGAAACCCCAGCCGCGACAGCACGCAGGTGGGCCACTCTGTGGAAAAAGAAAGCGAAGTTAACTCTGAAGTCAAAGACTTGGAAGCTGCGGAGGAGTGGCGGGCCATTCTCGAGCCTGTGCACCGAAGTTCCAGCGGCCTTCTGGTGTCCGACACTCTCGGAGTTTCCGCGGCGGACAACGAAGCTGAGCAGGAGCCGCAGTCGGCTTCTGAAGACGACGAAGTGGGGGGGGTTTTGAGCATTCTGCGGCGAGACATTGCTGCTGCTGCTGCTGCTGCTGCGCTCACTGCAGCAGACGGCGCCGCCGCCGCCGCCGCGCAGGAGGAAACCACCCAAACTCCCGATGCAGTTGAAGAGGATCTCGAGGGGGGGCGTTATGTGTGTGCTTCCCGACTGTTTAGTTTTTAGCTGCGCGCTCAGGCGCTTCTTTCCGGGCTTCTGCAGCAGCAGCCCGCCAGTTGCTGCTGCCGAAAGCTCTTTGCTGCAGGAAACCCGCGCGCATGCATGCGGGCCTGCATGCGCGTCTGCACAAGAGCAAACAGACTTGCATGCAGCGCGAGGGCAGCTCGTGCGGGCTTTCCTGACGCAGCAACCAGGCAGCGAAGTGAGGGATTGGCTCTGGGGCTGTACACGCATGCAGCACAAGCTGCTGCATGCATGCGTGCAGCAGCTCGCCATTGCGTGGTACTCGATGCATGCAGTTTTTCGCGGGCTCAGCTTGCGAACTTCACACCGCAGCTGCGCGACAGCTGAGTAGCTGGAGTGCGTGTTTGCAGTACTGCACATTTACCTACTTGCAGGCTCTTCCACATGCGTAATCCACATGCATATTCTCATGTATGCAACGCCCCTATGGTGCAGGCAACCGTTGGTAGACGGGTGAAAGCAGTGCATTGTTGCATGCATGCCTTAACGAGAGCCTTTTGCTACTTACGCATGTCTGCATGCACGCGTGCAGACACAAGGTATCAACTGACGTAAAGGTCACCGCGGAGACCCCTGCTCTTTTTTGCTCAGATTTCATTTGGGGAGCTCTCCGTATGCAGTTTCTAACCTGAGAGCTAACACGTATGCAGTTGTTCGTGCGTGCGAAAAGGCAGCCTTCCTTGCATCCCTGCGTGCGGTCGCATTCATTTCAAGATCGGCACGAATGTAGGGCCAGTGTGCAAGTGTGTTGCCTTTAATGCATGTGCGCGGCGGTCACATGTTTGTTTGTTGCATGGGAACATGCTCACTCGCGCGTGCACGATGAGTTGTGCTGCTGCAAGCAGCTGTGCACGTGTTGACAGTAACTGTGGCGTTTTGGGGGCTGCCTTTGCGCCACGGATTTTCTTGCTAGCTCAACAAGTGGTAATGGAAGTAACCAAAATGACATGGTCTTCTGTGCTTTCTTTTGCTGCTGCCACTACATAGCACAGACACTGGAAACAGCACAATTTTTACGTGCACTCCGGTGTCCTAATGGGCTGCCCCGTCTGCACAGAGTGTGCCTTTGGGAGCCCAAAGGGATGCATCGAAGGAACATTGACCTCTCGCTTAAGGTGTGCCGGTTTTGAAGAGGGAGGAAGAGCCGGGGCTCTAGACACAAGCATGAGTCTGCGTACACGCGACTTATAGAAAATATGCGGAGTCACAAAAAGAGAGGAAATAGGTGAAAGCAGGAAGTACTGCATTTTGGTGCAAAGCAGCATTGCTAGGGGTGGTGGCGGTGAAACTGCTGTGGCCACTGCAGAGGCTGATGAGTGCACTGATCCCTAAAGAGGGCAGGGGAAGCTGAAGGATTGCTTGTAGGTGAACAGTTGCGAGGCCATCAACTCCCTAGAGCGGAGGCCATTAGAGACGCAATAGTGTTTGTGACAAGAGCAGCAGACCAAGAGGATACACACAACCGTACGTGTTGCGGTGTGGCTAGGCAGGTACGCAGAGAAATGGAACAGCAACGCAAAGGGGCAGACATTGAGAGGATTAAGATGAAGAAAGAAACCTTCAGAGAAAAGCGGCACTTTTGATGGTTCGCTTCTCTGTGACTTCGACTAGAAGACAAGAACGGCCCCCAGGATCCTTCCCTGAATGAGGTGGATTTGCGTAAAGCCCGGGAAGGTAAACCGCGTAAAGTGGCATAAACCTATGCAGCCACAGGCAGAATGGCAAAGCCTTCGCATCATGCAACCTGTGGAGGCTCATGAAACTCTAATACAAGGACACGCAATGAAGTTCTAACTTCAAAAAACCGTCATGCTTCACCAGGGATGCCACGGTAGTCAATGGAGCTTGCGCAACAACACGAGAATGGAGCGAGGCTACAGCAGGAGTTGCGCATGACATGGCCGCACTTTCATTGTGGGGAACACATGCGCCGTAGTCTCACATACTCAGACAATAAACATGTAGTAGCTTTACACGGGTGTCAGTCTACATATGGAGTGTAGCTTTTTGCCAGAATTAAAAAGACGTTGACGAATACAAATGTAGATACAGAAGAAAACGTGAGAGTGAATCAGATGGGTGCATGCGCTGCACATGTGCAGCATGAAAGGCTCACCTGTTAACAAAGCCATCAACTTCGTCAGCAGTAAGTCCGGATCCAGTGTTTCTCCGTGTGTCCCTGAAGCAGATAGCAGTAAAAGGCACTCTCTGTATATTTCAGTTGGCCATGCAGTTTGAGAAGCTCAACTGCCCATTGTTCCAGGCTTAGCTTAAGCGTCTGCAAGGCTTGCCTACTCTTCTTGCTGCCTCCTCCAATTGTAGACCCAATTCGCTGTTTCCACCTGATGCAAACGATACAATGAATCTGACGACAGCTTGTCGGGGTGACACGCAAAACTGTACAATGACTGCGGGTGTTGCCGTGATAATCTGAGTGCTGGCTGCACTGCTATTGCTTGCCTTCAGGACGAGCCAGAGATCAACAAATGAGTAGACGCGTTCATAATCTCTCAATGCCCTGCAATCATTAAACGCGAAGAACAACTTTCATGTTGGCGCACTCTCTTTCGACTGAACATTTTGAATCAGTGAGCTTCCTTTTTGTGAGTCGTTTCCCAAAGTTAGAGCGCTTCTTATACGCTGGCCAGAAGTTCTGGCAGCAGCAGCGCACGTAGAAGCCTTGACAGCAGCAGCGCCAGACGAACTCGTTGATCGTACGCAGCTCTGCTTGTTCTTGCTCGGGCAAGTTATACGCCGTCAGCTCTTGCGGATCCAATCGACGAAACCCTATAGACACACGCAAATTTGGAGCGTACAAGCTTTCGCTCGGCCCATGACAACGTCATACAGAACGAGATAGTGGCAATAACACTTAGTGATAAACCACAAGTTTTTAAGGCAGGGATTACGCGAGAAGGCCTATTGGCAAATATGTTCAAAGTACAAACACGTGCTTACACTTCTCTGTGCATCAACAACCACGGAGTCGCTGGCATGCATGCATGCAAACTGGTGTTGAGCTTCCGCTGACTCTGTGTTGACAGGAGGGCAAGTAAGGCAAGCCCACTAATGCCTATAGAAAGTACAGTTTGACGTTTTCATGGAGCAGCAGCACCAGAAGCTACAGAATAGCCAGCACCGTCAACTTTACCATGATACTACTGCCTCCCACTATCCTGCAAGGAAAACAAAGGAGGGCGCTGTGGGAGAGAAAGACTGACCCAGCATCCACCCTTCCAACAAAAAAACGTCAAGATCAGTTGCGTCAAGAAGCACCGCTGCTTCTGTCCTGTCACCGGCGCCATTCATTTTGCTCTTATCATATTTTGGAAGGAGGATTTTCCTACAAAGAACTCACAACACTATCTGCAGAAGGATGAGGTTTGCAAACGTCTCTTTTCTACCTGCAAGCACGCATGGGCCGTTTCTTTCAAATCCAGCCGCAGCCGCAACAAGGATGTACGGGTTTCTCTCCTTAAGGCGCTGTAGCACGTCCACGCAGAGGGGAACATCGTGCGTCCCTGGGGGCCCCCGCCGCGGGAGCACCCTTGGTCTGGAGCTAGTGGCATCCGTAAATATCACAGGGGGTAGTAGTTTAGTTGGCAAATAGAAATCATCCATTGAGGCTGCAGCGGCTTTTATACCCAAGGTGCGCAGGCCCGCCTGCAAACAATTACAGCGTCGATATTTAAAGCTTACAAACAGGCAACACAGCTTAAGGAAATAAAAGTTTGCGAACAAAAATGTGACACAGGAGCCAAAATGATTGTTAGGGGCAGGGATAACAGGAGGCTGACAGAGTAAAGGATGATCGAGAAGAAAAGGTATGGAGACTGTGACCAATATAAGTGCTGCCGCTGACGCTGTAACTGCTGCTGCTGCTATCAACACTACTACTGATGAATAGCAGCAAAGAATTATTTGACTGGCCTAACCAATAAGGCAGCACAGAGTGTCGTCTTCCCACATCCTTGAGGCCCCGTGATGCCCACAATGAGAGGACTGGGCTTATGTGCTGGACAAGAGTGGGAAGCCGATGCAGCCGAGCCATGTAACAAACAAAGCAAAGAAAAAAAGCACATAATCAAGAGAATGAACAAATAATAAATATTCTTCACTTTTGAACTAATTCGATACTGTAATGTCAGCGCAAATAAACAAATATGCGCTTGGAACGCCGCATGAACGCAGTTACAAAGTACAAAGAAGCCTTCAAAAATGGCCCTGTATTCTGCCCCTCTTATTGTGAACAAAATGTAGATGCTTTGAGGATAAGTAACTTACAGGTATCGCGGGACTTTTGTTTCAGAACCTCTAAAGCAATCCAGCGACTGAACGGCCAATCTCCATTCGCTGCATGTTCACCCAAACCAAAGAACATTACTAGAGAAGCCTGGGTGGGTAATCGAAGTGTCTTACAATTTGAAAAGGCTTCATTCTTTAGCTTTTAGGCATACAAAAGGCTTCCTTCCAATGTTCCCTACGCGAGTCTTCAACCCAAGGGTTGCGTTGCAGACAGTTACTAGCTCTAAAATTTAGATATGGCTTTCTTGAGTGATTCTCTCCATAGCTTCCTGCTGTACCTTAATTTACCTGCAGCAAACGCTGCTGTGCCCGCTGCATGAGGGAATTGATCACGGGCCTTTGAGCAGGCCGCTGTCACAGCCACCTTTTCGTGTTCAGGTCCCTCCCCTATCAGTTCCTCCAGAATGCCGGCTCTGTGGTAAGCGAAAGTAACAGATATGAGCATATAGCTAGTTGCGCTAAACACGGCTTGCGCATAACGTGGCGACAGGGTCAAGCAGACGAAGTGTCTAATTGTAGAAAAGCAAGCAAGAATACGACAAAATCACAGAGGCAAAATCATACAGGAAAGATAACGCGGCAACTGAACTGTTGCGCTGAAAAGTCTTGAAACAGAAGGCAAAACCACTAAAATCACCAAAAAAAGAAGGCTAATAACAAATTTACTGATACATCGGCATTTTAAAGGCCGATACAGTTTGTTTCATTCGCGCTTTTCTGTCCAGTTATCGTAGGGTCACTCACCGGCTCTCCATTATAGTTGCCATTGCCCTTCAAAAAATCCAGTTGTGTTGCTTCCTGCCGACTCCCTTATGGTTTTCATTCGTTTCCGATATGCTAGGGGCTGGTCATCCAGTGTTCTGTCCCCAAAAGCTCTCCGGTTACAAGCCAGCAGCTACGTTTGGCCGAGCATGTCGCTGGGGGGAATGCGCTGGCTCTAATTCACAGTTTTAGGGAACGAAGCAGACATGCATTCCTTGAATTCACTTTATCGACATAAATGTCATTTGCAAATTAAAATAAGGGCAACAACCATATGTGACAGAGTCAGCGTAGGTTATAACGAGATGCCCCAAGCAGGGAATTTTATGTGGCCTCTGCGAAGTCACTTCAGCACCCCACAAGACACGGAAGAAATGATTTTTAAGCTAACGTCTGCAGGACAACTTGAAAAAGACACTTAGTGGAAATAACAGCAATAGAGTGTCAACTGCGTGCATTTCAGCCTCCGTCCGTTCCTGCTCACGCCCAGACCACTCGGTCTGTCTGCTGTTTGCTCTCCGTAATACTCAGCAAAGCAAATCCATTTTGTTGTGAAAACTCTCTTGGTCTCAAATTGTTTTTCTTTGTCAATTAACGGCTGCCGGAATTTCGGAAGTCCCGCAAGCAGCTAAGAGCTAGAATCTTGGCAGTTACGGCATGCCACCTCTATGCGCCATATCCACAAATACCTGCACTCATTGACAAATGCACCGGCAACTACGTACCGTACAAATTCGCTAAAACAAAATGTTAATGATGTACAGTCCTCCAAGGGGCACACTGTTCACGCCCGAGTCAGAAGAATGTCGACATGGGCGTATGGGACTGCCGACCATCTCAGAGTGCTGAACTGACGGCATGCTTAGCAGCAAAATCTTCTCATACATCTGTACCTTCCACCATAATAACAAAATGCCACTACAAACCAAGCAAAAGCTGCCCGCCCGGGCACCCCGCTGTGAATCCCAACTCCGGCACTCCAGCCCCTCATGGTACATCGAGATATCCGGACAAGCTGCGTCTCTATACTGGACTGCACTGATTGCTAAATTGCAGCGAAGTTAGGATATTATGATCCAGCCACGAACCAACAAGACGTCTGGCTAAGCTGCCACTTCCTGAAGGGAATCAACTTGAATGTTCAGGGCTAACGAACTCGTACTCTACGCCTATGCTGTGTATTCGCAGGCTAATCAACTCAAGACCCATGTTTATTCGCAAACCCTCCACTACGTTCCTGTTGCCCCAGGATGGAAAGATGTTCCCTTTCAAATGCTGTAGTCTGGAGCGCGCGGCGAAGGCATAAGGGCAATAGCCGCTGCCCAGTACGTGTTAACTAGTTCTTGTTTCTCTGAGGCACGGGTACCAGGGGTTGCCCAGAGAGAACTTAGTTCTCAACTGGGAGCTGAATGTCCTTTGCGAGGGGGAATGTATCGGCTAGCGGGCCCTTCTTTGCCAGCCATTTTGCGCAGACTCCGTCAGAGACAATGCGCCCCTCTGCTTGCCACTTCTTGTACTCCTCGCGAGTGAAAGGCGTGAAACCCCACTTGTTCGAGGTGAACACTTTCTGGCGGCCGGGGAACTTGAAGGCGGCACGGCGCAGAGCTAGGGAGGCGATGTTCACGCTCGACTCCTGCGGCGAAACGACAGAAAGCACTTTGCAATGCAGCAACAGTGTTATGTCAAGGCCAATCGACGCATGTTCAACTTAAAACAAATAGTTCTTCACACACAAAGAACGAAAAGTGCCACATTTGGCGACATCAGTAGACAACTGGGGCTCGCTGGCTGGATATATTTCGCAAACGAGTCTGTTAGGCCACTAAGACGAAAGCAGGAAGCAAAAGTGTAAAAGGGTGATATTGCTACCTACCTTGGTCCTAATAGACATAAGAATCTGCCCAATGTTGACACGCGCAACTAGACCTGTGGGCTTCCCGAAAGCTCCTCTCATCCCGGTTTGCAGCCTATCAGCCCCTGAAAGAATCCGTGCAGAACAACTCAGAACTGCCCATAATAGACTCCCCTTATTATGCCACAAAACATCTTGCGAAAAAAGAACAACTTTCGCAAGCCAACAAATTCATGCAAATGAACCAAAAGTTTCCCACTTGCTTTCGCGTACCGGCGCACGAAAGCATTTTATTGATCCGAAGAACGTGGAAGGGGTGGACGCGCATGCGCAGGTGGAAGTTGTCCTTGCCGCAGTGCTTGATCATGTACTGCAAAACATCCAAAAAGCCAGACAGAGAGAAAATATTAGGGACTAAAGCCAGACAAAAAGAAAATATAAGGGACTTTCTCCTCAATGAGATTAATAATCCCACTAATCGCCAGATGATGCCACAGTCCAGCCTCGTATTAGGTCTCAAAGTAGATACGTGGTTTAGCAACGAGTCTATGGGCTTATATGCTGCTGCCTCTGTTCTGTTTAAAAGAAGAACGTCCATGTTGTTCAGCTGGCCACTCTTTTGCGGTGATCTGAAACTGTCTTCCAAGCCGGCTCGTGGGCATGCCAAGCCGGACGGGGCTATTGGCTTTCTTCTTTTCCCATTTAGTGCGGAAAAGTAAAAAAAGAACTGTGATTATGGAGAGAGCTGTCTTGTTGAGAACGGAATTAACAGGGTCGCGGCCAGCTCAGGGTCGCTTGCCTTGTTGGCGCAGACGCGAGCGGCCTCGAGAGCCTCCGATGATATTTGTTCATATTCGTCTGAGACCAAGTGGACAACTCCTGGGAATTCTTCTACATCTGCTTTCTTCCTGCCCACGTCGTAAATGCGCAGCTTCGCATCGGGCACACCGCGACAGAAGCGCGACTTCGGGTAGGGCTTGTTCTTGCAGTAGCGGTAGCAGCGAGCCGGGCGGCGACCCATCTTGAAAGTTTATACAAATGAACCAAGGAAACTGGAGAGTTTTTGCAAAATTGCACAGACACAGAGGGAACAGTGCAAAGAGACAAGGACGCGGGATGTAGGTGTGGGGGAAGGAGTAAGCAGGCACTGAGCAGAGACTGCAGGTGCTACAGCATTAAGCAACTGCAATTTGCTCTTCCGAGCATCTCTTCTGCTACACAAAAGTTCCTCCGCTCGCCGATTCTTATAGGCTACCCCTCACGAGATGGCAGCGGCTGGTGCCTGGCAGCCCCAGGGGCTGCCGCAACCTCTGTTGCAGCTAGTGCTGTGGGGCGTACTGCTGAACGCCCCTGGTGGTGAAATTATACATTCATCATGCGATCATAAAGCAATATTTAGATGGACTGTAGTAGGACTGGATGCCCGTATTGGGCAGAAATGCTCAGGCGCACCCCAAAGACTGGGTGTACGGACCCAACACTCAGGCTCCACGTCACAGAGATACTGGCACAGGTTTGGTTAATTTCTGGTAGACGCGAATTCTCCACCAGAAATAAATTCCACAAGCTCCACCTGATATTCCTGTTGTGCTAGGTACAGATGCTCTTCCCCAATTTTTAATTTTCTCTTCTGGGGAGCTTCGGGTTGGGGCTGCGTTGTACCACTAGCCTACGCTAATAGTTCACGAAGGCTTGGGCTTTTAATGTACCAGCTAAAATTTGATGAGGCTTCTTGGGGTATTTCGTTGTATTATCTGTAGGTTGAAGACTACCTACCATAGAAGACCGGACAGCCCGTAGGCTCGTATGATTGTAGTCCCGATACTGAGCGCCATTTGATGCCTAGATCGGCAGCTAAGATTGTCGCGACTGAGGTCTCAGTCCTTGCTTACCTGCCTGCCTCGAATGTCTGGCAACGTCTGCTCATTTGGGGCCATTTCTGCTGGATGATTCCTGTACGACATTGCTTGGCATGTGTTGGTCATTAGAGTAATTTTCTGAGACATGACTGGACCCCTGTTCGTCCAATTCCACTTTTAAAAGTGTGCTATTCCCCAGCAAGTCCTGAAAATCTCTTCATGACAAGCAAAGGTGAAGAGAGGAGGAGTCCATACGGCATCGCGTGCTTGGAAAACCAGCCGGATTGTGCCGAAATGCGCCCACAATCCAACTAGCCGTGTCAGCATGGCTTCGTAGTTTGAACTAAGCTGCTCGGTAGCGTGAACCACAGAATATAGCGCCTTCAGGCCCCTGTACCTGGTCCTTCAGCTGGTGACACCTCTTTGACTGGCGACCCCTCTTTAACTCGCGACCTTTTTGAACATATTGTCTCTTTAGCTCCTTTGCCCAAACTACTGGGCACAACGGAAAACTGAAGCTGGTGTAACACCAGCTGCGGAAATTTCTGAGTAGAAGCGGAAACTGCGGTGAGTATCGGGCCGCAGGCCGGGGGAATTGTTTGCCCGATGTTGCAATACAGCTTCCAGGCGCCAGGCCTCGCCGCGTCCCGCAACCTGAGATGTACCTACAATGGACCTAAACTGTATCATCGATTTCCTGGAGCCTCAACTAAAATACGGCTGTTTCGCTACATACCACTTAGCTACTTCGGTTGCGCATGCGCTTCAGAGAATCACAGGAGCCACAGAGCCACGGCCTGTGCATTTAGGTGTTTCTTCGTCTTAGAAAGCTTGCAACCGCAAATAGTGGACTCCCTCATCAACACAACATTAAGGCTTCGTAGTCACAAAACACACAAAGTTTTAGGCAAGATCCAGACAAGCAGGCATAGAAGCAGCAGCACCACAAAAAGGAAGGCATAATAGCGTTAGCGGCGACCATCACAGCTCTGAGCAAGTGGCCTTATGACTGAACTAACTCAAATCTAGGGAAAGGACAGCTCCTGGCTTCTTCCGATTTACAATTAGGGGTCACGCATTCGAATAGAGTCTCGAAAAATTTCCGCTTCCCTCGCATGCCGCCAATCACTAGGCATCAGCACACGCGCCCGTACGGGCTGGTCAACCTTTCCAGCTAGCCATCTGATTAGCTAGCTGTCAAGATCGTTAAGCATGCATGTAAATAGAAAACAAAACTTGGCTACGACTCGACGTTTGCCGCTTCCTGCCAAGCCTCCAAGTCAAGCTCGTCCTCCTCTGCGTACTCCGGCAAGATGCCTCTGCGAACAGGCAAAGAAACAGCAATGAAATGCTGTTATGGGTCCAGATGAGACACAGAAGTACCAGCTCAGTTTTGATGCATGCAAACAGCGCTGAAGGCGAGAACGAACGCGCCAACACGGGGAAGTGCGAGACGAAGAAGTAATAGAAGAGGCTGTAAGAGATATACAATGTGAAAGGAACCGCAAAGAGTGGAAATGAAGGGAGACGCACCTGATCCTGCACTTGGCCTTCAAATCCTGAACTTCTGCCGTCAGCGGGCCCAGAGCTGCTATGATGGAGGCATTGCTGTGAAAACCGACACAAAAAGTTCAAGTGCGCCGCAAGATTGCAACAAGTGACCCACTAGATAAAAATGGCAAGCACCCTGAGACACAAGAAGGGGTAGCGGGCCACCAATGGCCAGAAGAGACTGGGAAAGCGTCAAGCTGATGCACAGGTGAGAACAGGTAAACGCTGAAGAGGAGAATTTTTTCGCGCGGCGAAGAGACAGATAAAAGGGAGAATGAGTCATAAAGACACAAGAGACTATAAGGCACCAAGGCAGCAGACTTTCAGAAATTCAAACGGAAAGCAGTGATGCGCCCTTCATGAAGCCCGAAAAACCATATACTCTCGTGGTTCTTTCTGCTGCTGCTGTTGAAACTGCTGCTGTTCACTGTTAATGCACTACACATGCGCACTTGTTTTTGTACTGCTGAGCCGTCTGGTCGAGCTGCTTTAGGGTTCCCGCGGCCTCTACCTGCAAAATACACAAAGACGAGATCCCCAAATAACGAAAATGGGGGATATTAACAGAAATATGAAAAAGTGATACAAAGAAAAGAGGAAAAAGGCATACGGAACAAACAGAATAACATCCAAGACAAGTAACAACGGACAAGACCGCAAGAAACACGAGAAGCGACGGTGCAGATAGTACGAAACAACACAGGAAAAGCGGTCCCTCTTACCTGCTGCAATTTGCGTGTCTTGCAAATTGTGTTTTCTTCCTCAGCGCGGCGTTTCGTTACGGCAGCCAGCCTGAAGAGTTGCAGACAAGATTAATAGAGAGGCCGCACGTAAGCCACAAAGAGTTTGACGAGAACACAAACACCAATACAGGAAATGAAACAACACGTAACACAACACAATGAAAACGCACCGACGAGAAAATGACGGGGAACAGGAACGTGAGGAAGCGGAGGCAAACCCCCAAAAGCAGACACAAAAAGGCCATTTGTTGCTCAGGAGATTTAACTGCGGACAAGGGACGTGTGTACCACAGCGAAATACAACTTGAAAAGATTCGAACACACAAGCCACTCTGCAGACAGCCACGGAAGAGAAAACCGGCTAACCTGTCTTTAGTTTGCGTGAGGTTCTTGAGGTGCCTCTGCCAGGATGCGGCGGCATGTGCATTCATTAACTCTAGGTTGATGTGGGCAGTTGCTGTGTGCTGCAGCAGCTGCTGGCAGTTCACAACTGCCTTCTCCCAAAGCTTTACATCGGAAGCCTTCTGTCCAGTGGGCACGGTGAAGCTCGTGTACTTGCTCAGGTCCAGCTCGGGGATGGGTTCACCTGATCAGCACACAATCCCACAACACAATCCCCCATATGACGGACATTTTAAAAGGAAAATGCGGCTGAGACTTTAAAGAGAGGCTCAGAGGCAGACAGAAGAGGAGAAATGCGCACGCAGGAACCGGCAAGCACACAAATGCGAAGAGAGAAGGTACGGCGAGTGAGTTTAAAGCTGAAACAATCAACTTACTAAAGAGGCACGATAGACAAAAAGAATAAGTTTGTAAGCGGAAGGAAAGAGAAATAGGCAAAAACATAAACGGAAGAAAGTAAAGCCACACAGGCAGACGAGTGAAGGAACTGCCAGTGAACAACTGGAGGAGCAGCGGTGTTCATTATGAATGTGAAGCAGGAGTGGAGGAGGCAATGGAGATGATGCTCATTTTTCTGTAAGGATGGGAAGGAGGAAAGAAGACGATATTCAGCGCAATACATCTTGTGATCAATGCACGAAATCGTTACTTTCTGAGGCTATCACTGTACATGCTACGAGCAGGCACAGTGCAACTAAAACCCCAACATTGGCGATGAAAGCCTCACCTCTCGCCTTTCTCGCCATCTCTTTTCCCAACATCGTCTCCGCGTCATCCAAGAGGGCGGTTTTGGGAAGGGGAAGTTCTCTGAGGTAGTCAGGGAGGTTGTCTGGCCCGCCAGCCTCCTGGGCGATCAGAGCCATCTCTTGCTGCAGCAGTTGCTGCACCTCTTGCTGCTGTTCAGCAGGCAGAGGATCTACATAAGGGAGTGCATCTAATACCATGGCGTGAGGCAGACGCTCTGTGAGGTAAAACTCCGGAGCGGAAGAAGCAGAGTTGGACTGCTCCTGAGAAGCTCCATTGACATGAACCAACGCCTGAGAGCCTCCTGGAGAGTGCCCTCCGTTGGAGAGGTCGCTCGACGCCGGCATCAGAGGAACAGGTAGCTCTCCCAATAGGCAAACGGGGAGATTTCAGTTGCTGCTGCTACTGTCCGCGTCGCTGCTCCTGCTGCCGCTGCTGCTGATGTTGCGGCTGCAGCTGTTGCTGCTTCTGATTCAGCTGTTGTCACAACAGCTCCTACAGCGACATGCTGCTTGGACTTCGCCAGCACCGGCAGGAGGACAATTTTTGGTAGCTGTTTCCCTCCGTCGCCTTCAGCGTCACAGGGAGGCTTTAGAATGAAATGAACAACACTAGAATACTATAAAAAAGCAGTAATATTAGGGTTATGCCGTATCGTTGCAGAAGAACAGTCGGGCTCTTCAAGCCCGGTTTAAATGAGGCAGCTCTTGGGGCTGGATGAGCCGGTGCATTATGTGCCTTGAAGCAATTGGGTTTGTCTCGAGGAAACTCGGCTCTCTCAAGTAATATAATCCGATTTTTAATGCATTGTCGGGTACAGATCTGTGATATAAGTGGGGGCTAAGTAATAAATCAAGTCACCAACACTGTGGCGGCGTTTGCAAGGCTACACAATGAAACGTTCGCTATTCCCGTTAATTTTCGAGAAAGTTCACAAAATGTTTGGGAACTTCCACTAGATTCTCGTGGTTAGCTCTGCATAACGACAGTGTTCCGCTGCTACGTTGCGTCCTTCAGTATTGTTGTATGTGGTTCTGCCTTCTGCCGTCAGCGCCCTAGGTTGGCTAGAGACTGGTTAGTTGAGACGAGCGTCTGGACTCTAAGAATCTCAGATAGCTTCATGCCTCGTGTTTCGAGGTCTATTTTGCCTGGTCACTGTCACCAATGCCTTGTTTTGCAAGTGTGAACATGGAGGCGAGTAGCGTGGTGTGAGCTTCTGCCCTCCATTTCCCAATTATGTCGTGTTTGCCTTGCTGCTTCAACATTCTTGTTAATCTTTGCTTGCTACTTTGCTTAGTCCCATGCTCTCGTTGCAGCGGCAGCGCTCGTCGCTACAAACAACAGTACGAGCAAGAGCACGTTGTATGGCAGGCGTTGAAGGAACGTCAATATAGACTAGGAGGCAACGGTTCTTGGGGAACAAACTATATGATGTTGCGAAGGAAAAATTCATTTCTCTCTTGTTGCACAATGATCGTAGTTTTGAAGTCCAAAAGGCAGCGATACTCACGGATCAGTGGATACAGGGACACGTTAGGCCATGCGACACTGTGCTGCAAATCAGCCGTCACCCTATGTCGTAGACTTGAAAGCATGGCTTCTTGAGTTGAAAAGCTGGATCTATTTGTGGAGCGGAGAGCTCCACACAGATGCAAACTTCGAGACACAGAGGGCAGGATTTAGGGATACGGAAAGCATGCAGGCAACAACGAGCCTATACCTAACAGATGAAGGTTGAAAAGCCACAAAAAGCGTAAGCAGAACGAGGGAATCTGGTGAAATGTGCTACTTGATCTGCTGAAGGCCACGATGGAGCGCATCCATTGAAAAACAAATTGAGGCAACGAAACATGAAGGTAAAGAGAAGTACCGGAACACGCCTCAACAACGTAGACACAGACGGGTGGGCACGCAAAGGGTTGCTAGCAAAAACGTAGAGAGCCAGATGAAGCGGCGAATCTACAAGGATAAAACCGAAGACAGAAATGAATGGAGATGACTAGGGGAGGCAGAGCATGCAAAAGATGGAAGTTGGCCAAGAAGGGCAGCTTAGATATGGGAGAAGCAAATGCATGAAACGTAAATGGCATTAGTTCTGAATAAATACAGCAAGCGTGCGCTGCTTCTACTGTTGCAATTGCTATTTATATTACTGCTGTAACTTCATCTGGCGCCAACTCGCAAAATGAAATGGACAGAATGAAGTAGTTTCTGCTTCCCCGCACGCTGGAGTTTCTCTGCTCATTTCAGTCCCTATCAGTTGCTGATCATGCAGTCTCTGTAGCCCTGTTTCCTCGGCATTTCCCTGCGGTTCCGATTCCTTAGGGTGCCGGAGTTATTGTCCCGTGTGCTTCTTTTATCGTTGCCTCTGGTGAAAGCGAGCCGGGTGCTGGTGCTGCTACTGCAGTGATTAAACATTTGTTGTCCTTGCGCCATCCTGCTGCTGCATGACGATACCTGTATTTGCTGTAGATCGCCTCTGCACTGGTCGCCTCTGCGTCTCGTGCTGCTGCTGCTGCAAGTGTTATTGCGGGATACCTCACTTGTGTGTACGGGCAATGAAGCGTCGTGAGGCTTGTGGAGCTGCAACTGCGGTCGAGACTGATGCTGTTGCTGCGGCAGCTCTTGCTTGCAGGAACTGGGTGTTATCCCGCTTCCGCTCGTCCTGCCGGCAGTGGGCTTGATGACTGGCGCTGTGGTTACTGCTGCTGTTGTTCTTGCTGTTGCTGCAAGTGATGTCGTTGCAGGTAAACTGACGCTGCGCTCGTTGCTGCTGCTGTTCTTGCTGTTGCTGCAAGTGATGTCACTGCAGGTGCTACAGGTACTGGCAGCTGAAGCACTGATAGAACCACAGTGAAGAGTGCTGGTGTTAGGGCACTTCGCCTGCACACTGGGCTGGCTTCTACGCCTCCCGAATGCTGCTGGAGCGAACTTTTCGTCGCACATGGATTGACGGGCAGCTGCAGTGGGTGCTGTAGTTGCTGCTGCAGTGCTGGTTCGTTTGCATGGGACAAATTGCTTCCAGGTGCTGTTGTTGCTTCTCTTGATGTGAATGACGTTCCCGCTAGGTTTTACAAGCTTGCTGTTAATGCTATTGTCGCTGCTGTGGTTGCTGCAACAGTTGCTGCTGTGGTTGCTGCAACTGTTGCAATCAACAACCCGCAGGCAAGTTCCTCCAAGCCGCCGAAATAGTTGACTCTTTTCTGTGACCCCTTGAGGTTGCTGCACTTGTCCGTGCAAGCACTTGCTCATTTTCTGCAGCAGCTCACCCTGGCGTTCGCGAGGACCAGGCCTTGCTCTACCTAAATTGAAAACTTGCTGCTGCTGCATTTTTTCTGACGCGCCGCACAGCACTCTCGAAGTAGCCGCTGCCGCGCTGGGGAAACCGACGAAGCGCCTGGCTTCATGGGATCCTGGAGCCGCAGCAGCAGTAGCTGCTGCTGCTTCAGACGGCAGTAGTGGATCCTGCTTCTTGTGGTTTTGCGGGTTGGAAAGAGCAACAGAATCGGCGGGGGTCCCGCCAGCTGCAGACGCTCCAGTGGCAAAAGCAGCAACATGTGAGCCCGCTACCGAAGAAAGGGGGCCTCTCATGTAGTGCAGACGATTTTCCCCTGAATTTCTGATGTTTTTCCCGTCTCCAGCACCAGTGTGGGAAACACTGTTGCGTTTAAGGTTGTCATAACCTCTGGTGCAGCTCTTGTTGCAAGTCCAACTGTATTCCCCGCCATAACTGCCACTGCAGCTGCTGCTGGGAGTCCAACCGCCGAAACCAGTATTCGTCTCACATTCAGCAGCAAATAGCGGATTGTTGGTCTTTGCGGTGTTTTTTTCCACCACGGAAGCATCAGAATGAGGAGCGTCGCCGCAAAGGGCAGAAGCATTTGCGGCTGGAGCACCTGCTGCAGCTGTTTGGTCGAGCACAGTCTGGATGTGCCGGTTGCTGTTGTAACCAGGAAGCTTTCCACAGGTGCAGCAGCTGCTGCCACCGCAGTTTCCGCAGCGCGTGCAGGTCTGTCTGTCTGAGGCATTATTCCTGACACGATTTTCTGGCAAATGAAAGTCTTTTAAAGAGCCCCTAAGGATGACTTTGCCTGCTGTTGTATCCGCTGCCGCTTTTGCAACAACAGCACGCTGTTCTCTCTGCAAATGTGCTGCAAGGGCCCCTACACGCAAACCGGCAGCAGTTTCGCTCCCACGGTCTGCCTCGTAAAAGCAGTAGCAGCAATGAGCTCTCACGAGCGGCACAGCAGCGGCATCGAGACCAGTGAGAACGGGAGCAGCAGCAGCATTGAGCAGCAGCTGAAGTACCTATGCGGCGAACATTACATCTCGAAGGGTCGTGTTGCTGCAGAAAGGTGGCAGCAGTTTCCCAGGGGTCGGCTGCTGCGCAACACAGCATCAGCCCAGCTACAACAACATCGTTAGCCTTGGCAGTTGCCCGGCCGCCTGTCTTATGTCTTTGCTGTTGCATTTTAAAGACTCTGCGTGCATATTCCTGCTTTGGTCTGTCCGTTTGGCTGGTGTCAGAGCTGATCCGTGCTATTCCTCACCATGTATCACTAGCTACCTAGTTTCAAACGCGAGGAAAGTTTTTCTGTTTCATTTCGTGTGTTTAGTAGCCTCTCACTCTGTGTGTTGGGTTCACTGCACGCCTAGGGCTGCCGTTAGACTCTGCAGACTTGTGTGTTTGGTGTGCTTGTGTAAGAGGCTTTGCCGCTGTTGTTTTTTTCTTTTTTATATGTACTCTTTTTTGTTTCTTTGCATGTTTCTCGTAGCTTTTTTGATATATACTCTTTTGTGTCGTCCGTTCGCATCTTTTCACCTTTCTGTAAGACATCTGCGTGTGTTTGCATCTGGCCTAAACGCCATTTGTCTGTGTGTCTCTTCAGTTGTGCACTCTTTAGGGCATTCTCGGGTGTATGCACACCCCGACAGTTGCAGAACGGGAAGAACACAAGACAAAGACGAGCACAAAACGTTACACTCAGGTCACAAGAAGCAGCCTCAGAACACCAGCGACTTGCAAGGATCTACAGTCCACACGAAAGCATCACAGGGACTGTCACAGGAACAGTGGTCACAGGACACAAGCAATGAAAAGCAGTAAATAATGAGATAAGTGGGGCCAAGTGCCAGACAAAGGCAACAAAAACCTGCAGTCAGCCTGCATGCAAGTGATGATGTGCAGCATCTACTTGGGGAGCAGCAGAGAGTCTTGATTTGGCCTCCCAGTACGACTGTCGTTATGAGGAGCAACGTGCCATGAGCAGCTGCAGTAGACGCTGCTGGTTCCAGTGCTGTTGCTGTTGTTGCTGCTGCTGTTTCTGCTGCTGCTGTTCCTGCTGCTGCGCCCATCCTAAGTGTCTGCAGGAAAGCTGCGCAGAAAGGCTGCAGGAGCTGCTGTTGTCTAGGGCGCCGCTGCGAGTTGCATCAAGTGATATTCTTCGTGATCAAAACCTCCAGAAAGACTACCTGCAAATTAGCTGAGTTCGTGCTAGCGTAGCTGTATTCTACACTGCAGCAGCAGCAGCAGCAGCAGCAGCAGCAGCAGCAATTACAGCAGGACAAGCTGCCATCCCATCCTCATTATTATGAAAAGTGCAGTTTATATGGACATATTGCGCAAAGGGTACTTCTTTCTAGATGTACATCTGCAAGAAGATCTGTGTGGCAGTCGCAGCAGCAGCAGCAGCAGCAGCTGCGCCGCGTTGCTGCATGCAAGGTCACTGGTGTCAGTACTGCTTCTTTGGGAGTTGTTTTGTTGCGTTTCAGTTGTCTTGTTTCTCGGCAATTCTTTTTATTTTCATTTCGTTGTTGTTTTTGGCCACAGGGGAGCAGCAGGCGGGTGAACTGTGCAGTGTGTTTGCTGCTGCGACTTCTTCGGCTGCGGCGAGCAGCAACTGCAGCAGCAGCAGCAGCAGCAGCAGCGCCAGCGCGCAGCAAGTCGGATCTCTTTGCCCCTGATAATGGCATCTGCTGCTGCAGAGAGCTCGAAGCGAGCAGCTGCCGAGGACTTGGCGACTGCGCCCACTGCCGACACTTCTCCCGTCGTTCCGGACGCGAGCAGCAGCAGCAGCAGCAGCAGCAGCAGCAGCAGCGGCAGCAGCAGCCGCAGCAGCAGCAGCCACAACTACGGCGTGGCCCTGGGGGCCGTCGGCGCTGCTGTCTCCGTCACTTTGCTGCAGTACCTCCCGCGGCTGCTCTCCGCCGAAGGCCGACAGGCTCTGCGAGCAGCACTTGCAGGGGCTGGCAGCAGCGACTGGTTTTTGCTGCTGTGCTGCAGCATCTTCTTCTGCGGCTGCATTGGCAGCATTTTGTACAACGCGCACTTGGCCCACAACTGCAGGCTCGAGCGCTTCGTTGCTGCGCTGGTCCGGCAGCAGCGCAGGCAGCAGCAGCAGCTGCTGCAGCAGCAGCAGCAGCCCGAGCAGCAGCAGCAGCTGCAGGACCCAAGCGCGCAGCAACGCGAGCAGCTCGAGCAGCAGCAGCAGCAGCAGCAGCAGCACGCGGAGGACAGCGAGTGCTGCTGCTGCGACGAGGAAGAAGACAAAATTGGCGTCTTGTTTGTCACAGCTCATCCTGATGATGAGTCCATGTTCTTCGCTCCTTCCATTTCTCTCTTTGCTGCTAACAAAGAAAAGTTTGACGTTTTCGTGTTGTGTCTGTCCACAGGTCAGCAGGAACTCCAAACCCTGCGCGTGGGCCACGCGCAGCTCTGCTGCTGCTGCTGCTGCTGCTGCTGCTGCTGCTGCTGCTGCTGCACTGTTTGGTCGTTAGTTGGGCTGCTGCTGCTGCTGCTGCAGCTTTTGGTTGCTAGTTGGGCTGCTGCTGCTGTTTCGGCTGTTTCGTGTCTGTGAGTTTGACGGCCGGCTGCTGCACCTTGGCTGCAGCGCTCTGCTGCTGCAACTTGCTGCACCTGCTGCTGCTGCTGCTGCTGCAGGCGACTATGAGGGGCTCGGCTCAGTGAGGTCTGCGGAACTGACAGCAGCAGCTGCTGCCTTTTGTGTCCCGAAGGAGAACTTTGTTTGTTTGGATGAAAAGGAAATGAAAGATGGCTGGACGAAATGGGACAGCAAGGCGGTTTGTGCTGCTGTGAAGTCATTTGTGGAGAAGAGAAAACAAATTCAAGTTGTGAGTGTTTTTTGTGTTCACAATTCAACTTTTTTGTTGATTTTGCTTTCAAGTTTTACAAATTTATTCATTCTGGTTGTTTCTGGATGCTTCGTTGCAGATTTTTTCCTTCGATGAACTCGGGGTGTCTAGACACCCCAATCACTGCAGCGTCTACGAAGGACTTCGGTAGGACAGCAGCAGCTGCAACGCGAACTGCAGCACGAACAGGACCACGAGTGGCAGCAGCAGCAGCAGCAGCAGCAGCAGCAGCTGAAAGGAATCCATTTGTCCTTATCTTTCGCAGGCTCTACAACGCAGAGGTCCTTGACACATGCAGGGAGCAGCAGAAGCAGCACCAACAGCAGCGGAAGCAGGAGCAGAAGCAGCAGCAGCAGCAGCTGCAGCTGAGGAAGGAAGAAGCGCAAGCAGATTCGGAAGCTGGAACGCAGAAAAAAAGCCAGCAGCAGGAGGCCGAGGATGAGCAGCAGCAGCGGGAGCAGCAGCAAATGCAAGACATGCAGCTGCTGCCTTCAGTCTTCATCTTTTCCCTGCAAAGCTATGGTCTGCTTCGCAAGTACTCGGGTGTTCTCAATCTCATACCAGCAACTATTGATGCTAACAACAAGGGCGTGTGCGTCGCTTGTGCTGCTGCTGCTGCTGCTGCTGCTGCTGTTGCTGCTGCTGCTGCTGCTGCTCATTTCACGCTCAGTCTGTGGAATTCAGCGCGTATCTGGAGCAAGCTTGTACAGTTCTGCGCCAGCTACTGCAACAGCAAATGAAACATTAGCACCAAACTACTTAGTGCCTCTAGCTCAGTAGATAATGCAAAGGCGGGCAGCTGGAGCAGCCATATCAAGAACAGGCCACTGCATCCTTTTCTCCTGCTGCTGCTGCTGCTGCTGCTGCTTCCTCAGTAACTGCCGTGGCTACTTTTCTTTCTCTATTCCATTTTCCGGTCACTCAGAGCCTTCCCAGCACCAAAGGCTGCTTGTATGGCGACACGGCGCAGTTGCTGCTGCTACAGAACCGGCAGCAGCAGCAGCAGCAGCAACTGGTGCAGTTGGAGCCGGCCCAGTTGCAGCAGCAGCCGCTGCAGCTCGTATGTTGAGCGAAACGAAGGTCAGTGTTCTGCATCCCAACCCACTGCGGTACTGGCAGCGGTACGGCTAGGCTGCTGCAGCTGCTGCAGCTGCTGCTGCTGCTGCAGCTGCTGCAGCTGCTGCTGCAGCTTCAGCAGGCGGTGCCTGTGTTGCTGCTCTGAATTCGTGCTGCCCTTTGCAGGCGGCGTTGCCATTTCATTTCTGGGTTTGCACGTCAGTGCTGTTGCTGTCTTTATGCCCAGCAGCAGCAGCAGCAGCAGCAGCAGCAGCACCATCAGCAGTCAGAACCACCGGGTTGCTGGCTTGCTGCTTGACCTTCTCCTTAAAAGCTGCATGTGCTGCATCCCACGCCTCTTTGAAGCTTTGAGTCTTCTCGGCGTGTCGGCGGTCAGCCAACTGCGACACGTCGATGCCGACTTCTCCCTGTAAACAGACACAGCAGCAGCAGCAGCAGCAGCAGCAGCAGCAGCACGGCGTGGTACGAATGAGCAGCAAAGCCAGCAGCTGCAAGAGCCACTGCAGCAAGGACACGAAAGCTAGCCGAGTAGCAAGAGCTGCAGCAGCACCACCAACACCACGGAGTTCGGCAGCAGCACCAGCATGCGGATGCAGCAAATCCAACAACGTCAGCAGCACTTTGCATGCAGCTCCGCAGCAGCAGCAGCAGCAGCAGCAGCACATTCACTCGTTACCTTTAGTATGCAAGACCACCAGAGATCAGCAGAAGGAAGGATCTTCTTTTTCCTGAGATGCAGATCGACGAAAAAGAGTGCTGGCGGCAGCGTCTCCTGCGGCAGCTCTGTAATGCTGTCGCTGTTGCTGCTGCTGCTGCTGCTGCTGTCACTGCTGTTGCTGCTGTTGCTGCTGTTGCTGCTGTTGCTGCTGCTGCTTTCTTTCGGCCGCTGCTGCTGCGCCGCTATTTCTTTAAGGTGCTTCCAGTTTATGCGCCTCTCCGTCACCTCCCACAGCCACGAGTCCTCGTCGGGCTCTATGGGGTGGGGGAAGCTTCCCTCCAGCAGCACCTGTTCCTTGCTGCTGCTGCTGCTGCTGCTGCTGCTGCTGCTGCTGCTTGCGTCGCTGCTGCTGCTGGCGGGGGGCAGCAAGGAGGTGCTCGTGCAGCAGATCTTGAGAGTGTGTTCCGTGAGGTGTACGCGCAGGTCCCGGCCTCGGACACCGAGCGGCAGCGCCAAAGACAACACAACTTCATTTGCTGTTTGTCTCCAGAAGTATTTATTTTCGCTAACTCCTCCATTTCGGACAAGTTTTTGCATTTCGGACTTTCCGAGTCCCGTGGACACGACGGCGGGGAGGCCTGCTGCTGCTGCTGCTGCGTCTGCTGCTGCTGCTGCTGCTGCGGGCAACTCTGCAACCTGCACGGGGCCGCACCGAGGCCACTCGTGGGCGTCCTCGAAGGACATGCCCATCTCGCCCATCTCTTGCTGCTGCTCCTCCTCCATCCACTGCTGCAGCTGCTGCTGCTGCTGCGCTGCTTCTTCATTCTTCAAGTGGATGTTCAAACCCTCAGGGCCAATCGTCACAGCCTCATCCTTTGTGAGCCGCCTCACTCGGGGAGCCGGAGTTTCCTCCTCCTCGTCGTCGCCGATGTGGTCCCATTTGCTGTAATCAATCCCCCTGCTGCTGCTGCTGCTGCTGCTGCTGCTGCTGCTGCTGCTGCTCTTGCCGGGCAGCGCATGCTTGCGATGAGCGCACGTTGCACCTGGCGTCTCTTCGTCACTGCTGTCCACTTCCAGCTTGTCCCATTTGCTGTAGTCCACCATTTTCCGAACCAGCAGCGAGTGCTGCTGCCGCCGCACCGCCTTCTGCTGCTGCTGCTGGTGTTGCTGCTGCTGCTAGCCTAGCTGCTGCGACAGCTGATGCTTCCTGGCTTTCCTCTGGTGGAATCACCCTGTCAACTCTAGTGACAAAGGTACACAGGTGGCAGAATAGACACGCCAAAGCAGCTGCCAAGCCGTGGCAGTGCGTCTGCTGCTGCAGCTGCGTTGCTGCTTCCGTTGAACCGCTTTGAAACAGTAGAAATATGTCGTTTTATGCACACAGGAAGTAAAGAAGGCAAAGAGATGACTGCATGCAGCAGCAGCGCAGGACCCATTTCAGCAGTGGCCGCCGCCGTGGGCCCCAACTGCTCGCAGCAGCGACTGATGCTGCCTCAGCAGCAGCAGCAGACATCCAGCAGCAGCCTCAGAGCAGATCAACGTTACATTTACCACCGTACTTAACGAAGTAATATTCGAATAGGTCTTTGACTGACAAGGCGCCTGGCCCGCTGGCGATTGGAGCAGCAGCAGCAGCAGCGAAAGCTGCAGTGGGTGCTTCTTCTGTGAGTGTGCGTAGCTCGCAACCAGCTGCTTCGCGCCTCTTTTGTTGAAGCTGTTTCAGCTGCAGTAGCAGCAGCAGGCTCAGCAGCAGCAGCAGTAGGAACGGCGGACTCCGTTCAAGATGTTGGAGCGCATGCGTAGCTGGTTTTCTGGCTCCAAGGATGACCGCAGCGGCCTCCTGCTGCCGTCTCTGACTCATGGCGGAGCGAGTCCTGCGTTATGTCGCAGCGCGGAGGTTTCTGCTGCTCCCGCTGCAGCTGCTGCAGCAGCAGCAGAGTCGGAAGTAGTCCGCCCGATCACGGATGCTGCTGCTGCGGCCAAATCAGCTCCAGCCATGCAGAATGTGTCCGCCGCTGACTATCCCACCCCCGCCAAGTACCTGGAAAACCCCGATCTGATTCCCACTTACTACACTTTCCAAAGCAACATGGTTTCCGACGAAGACCTGCTGCCGGGCATGCTGCGCAACTTGGAGGTGGACCGCCGGCTGACGCTGCCCACCCGCACGCACATTCGCTTTCTGGTGACAGCCACAGATGTGATCCACTCTTGGGCAGTGCCGGCGCTGGGCATTAAAGCAGATGCCATCCCGGGGCGCCTCCAGAAGGTGAACACCTTCATTCAAAGGGAGGGGGTCTTCTACGGGCAGTGCAGCGAGCTCTGTGGGGCTCTCCACGGCTTCATGCCCATTGTGGTGGAGGCCGTCAGCCCTGAGACGTACGCAGCCCACGCGAGAAAATGGTACAAGGAGTAAGCAGCAGCAGCAGCAGCAGCAGCAGCAGCAGCAGCAGCAGCAGCAGCAGCAGCAGCAACGGCAGCAGTTGCACGGAAACCGTGAACTTAGCGCCACGTGAATCCTCGAGTGATTCCTCGAGTGGTCCTTTACTCATAGAGTCAGGGCTAAGGCGCCTGCCACGCAAACGTGGTGTAGGGACTGGGAAGCAGCAGCAGCAGCAGCGACGGCCGCAGCAGCACTACTTGTGTGTGTGATCGCGGCTCTGCTGCAGACGGGCGCTGGTTTGTGTAACTGCAGCAAGCCTTGTTTGCGCATAAAAAGTAAAGTCTTCATATATTTCATAGGAATTGCATCAGGGGCGAAGCCGAGGTTAGGACTAGAGAACATCAGTTTCAGCGGCCTTTGGGTTAGAAAAGCTGCAGATCATCAGCAGCCGGCAGCGGCTACTGAAGATATGTTGCAGCAGCACCAACAGCAGCAGTTGCAGTTGCTGAAGCAGCTGCTGCTGCTGCAGCATTGTAGCGGTTGTGTTGCGACCTTTGGTGGAGAGGCGGCGTTGGTTGTGTTTAATGAATAATAATTAGGGCGCTTGCTGATGTTTCTTTCCTCGTGAGTGACTTTGTGCTAGTTTTATTCGCACAAGTACGTGTTCAATAACTCGTATTTACCTTCAATTGCTAACATGCTCGATGCAGGCTTTTTTTTGCCAGACTGTCGAGAGTTCAGGGTCTGGGGCTCAGGGTCCTGCCTTCAGATCTTGGGGTTTAGAGCCTAGGGTTTAGGGTTTTAGGTGGAAGGTTGCAACTCATTTGCCCGAGCATAGAAATTAAAGGCTGTAAAAAAAGAGCCTAGCCTTACAGCAGCATCTTAGGCACTTCAAAGTGCAGCGTGGTGCACTGCAGGAGCAACGGCGCTTGCTGTTTGGGGGCCGCTAGCATGTTCACGCCACTCTTGTGGACAGCATAGTATTGCGGAAAGCAAGGCTAAAATAGGCATCGTACAGTCAGAAAGGCGGGAGAGGAATCTAAATTGTCGCCCCATGCTCCTACTGGCTAGGAAAGTGCACGCCAGGAAGAACTGCCGCTGCAATGAGCGGAGTAGGTCAACAACGAGCAACGGGATCCAAACACCTGAAGGACAAGGGCCATTATAACCCGTTGATTTCACGGAAGTGCAAGAATGTGCATCTCAGCCTCTTGACTAGGCATATTCGTGCTATGTATCCAGTTGCTCACTGGTGCGTGTGGACGAATGAGGATTTTCATTCCGGTATTAGTCACAAGCGCACGTTTCTATGCGCAGGTGAGGTTAGGAGAACAGTACTAGCACCGCAGAAAGTGGAAGTTCCCGGTGTTGACTCCTGTTGTCGTCCGAAGAAACAGATGACAGAAAAAAGGAGCAATGTTCAGAAGCAAAGAAACAAGGAAGAGGGGGCCTATGCATTTGTTGTTCATTCTCAGATCACTGTGCATAATTTCTGTGGAATGTGTGTGAAGCTCTGCACAGCCCGTATACCCTCAGGTACACTTCATAATTTTCAGTTGCATCTGCAGCAGTTTAACTAGCAAAGAGGCAAAGGGGTAGACGAGAAGCGAGTGACAAGGGCCATTACCTTCCGCTCTCAGTGTAATTAACCTATTTTTAGGTGTAGGAGCTGTGCAGCCATTCATGCTTTATAAGTAGTACTAGCTGCGGGCCTTCCACCGGCACAATGTTCCAGAAACAAGGATAAGGCGCACGGAAAAAATCCGACAAGTGATCCAAAAGCACCAAAGATGTGGCAGGAAACAAAACGAAAAGAAACCAGCAAAGATGCAAGACAAACAAAGAGAGCTGCAAAGACAGAGAGTTAAAAGTGGGAGAATACCGAAAAATGGAGGCCAGGAGGATGAAAACGATGAAGGAAACACAAGCATCGAAATAGACCGACAATTAATACGGAAAGAGGACACGAAGCGCTCACAAGCCGTTCTGCAGCTTGAGAGCCCAATGCGCTTCAAATAAACTTGCAGCCCACGAATAAGCTTTGTAAATTATGCAAACAATCCTGAGACCGCAAAACATGAGTGCAGCTTCAGCGCACAGTGCTACTTAATCTCATTGCAAAGTGTTTTGTGTGTTGCTGCCTCCGAAAGGGTGGGCAGCTCTATTTGTCGGCTTGAACTGCCTTGAGGGTTGAACTTGTGTGAAAATTTCTGTGGTTTTCGGCTAAACGTATATATGGCGCTGCCGCGTATCTCTTCTTAGGGCTATATTGCCTTGTTGACAGTGAGCTGACAACACTTCGGAACGGCTGCAATATCTGTAAGGAAAGCGAGAGCTGTTTCTGTAGAGCAACTCTATAATGTTACCAGAAATGGCCTTCACGGTCATATAATTCAGAATATGTAGATTGGCAATAGTAAATACAAGCAATACACACGCAAAGTGACGTAACCCTCGGGAGAAAGGGCCTGTATTTGGGCCCAGGGTTTTGGTTCGCAAAAGACACTGAAACTCTATTGTGTTGCACGCTCACTCTGTAACGGAGAAACAACGGGAGAACATATATGCATCCCAGGCATTGAGGACTCTCAATCGTTTCGCGTGGACTTCCTTTTCAGAAAAAAAACTGTTTACTTTGTAATGATAGGAATGAGCATCGGTAACTGGAGCAGGAGAGGCAGGCCGCAGCCGAACTAGGCTGAGTTCACTACAGTTTTCGTAGCAGTGGTTTCAAGAGTGAAAATTACAATAGACGACATAATTATGCCCACAAGTGTGCCTGAAGGCATAGTTAGCGTGGACAATCAACCTTATGTAAGGAGGACAGGGAATAAATTTGTAGTGAAGTGAAGCTTGGTGTTATCTGCGCTCTGTGCGTCACTTGGTGCCTGCGGGCTGATCGCATGGAAACGCTATATGCACTGCCTTTGCAAAGCAAGCACCTCATCAAATATATTACAGGTTGAATGCAGCACCAATGAAGTAGACCGCCTCCCATCGGTCAAGTGTGAACTACATCGGCATCATCACCTGGGCAGAAGGCAGCCAGCATCTTGGCCGCTATAAACCCACCGGATTATGTGTCTCAAATGAGCCCTACGTGCCTGGTTTCTCTGCCTCATCTCCGTTTTAGCCAAGCCCTAAGAACATGTTCTCTAGCTTGTGCCTAACCTTATATTAAGCACAGAGACCACGACGGCAGCCACGGGACTGCGCTTAAGTACTCCCAAACTGTAGCGCCCACTTTGGGAAATGCTCTTACATAGAACAGCGTGCGAAAGTAGAGCCCCTAAAGCGCTTTGGGTTTCGTAAGGATGCATAGGTCGCCCTCCGAGAGTGAGGACGGCGCACAGTGGCTGCGCTGTCCTTCGTGGAATTGGATAGCCGCACCTGATGATTCCACAAGACAGTGACAATAGCTTTGGAAAAGGTTAGGGCTGAACAGCAGCGGTTGAAGTTCTTGTTTACCTGGGGTGAGCCACTTTCTATCGTACTGACACATCCTGTTCCGAACGCCAGTATGCACGGTAGTTCCGAAGCAGGGCAATATTTATGCGGCGACCTTGGCTAAATGCCGAACGGCTGTAGAAGGGTGTAGCAGAAATAGCCCCCCACGGTACGCTCCCCTCCTGAAACTACACAAACCTTCGTACAATATACTCACCCTTTTTCCAGAATAGTTCGTCGCAGGTACTGTAACCCATGGCACTAAGTTTCGGCGCTCAATACCTGCATGGCGATACGACCACACCAAGCACTCCCTTGCAGCACACTGCAGCAGTAGGTGCCTGCAGCTTAACGCGACTGCGCGGCTTGAAGCGGCAGAGAGAAAACCAGCTTGGCAGTTTCATCTATCCCGCAGCCGCAGAATGTCATTTTCCGTGGCTATTATCCTTGGATTAGTAGCGGCTGTGCCAAAGCAGCAAAGCTTTCTCAGCATCTCATGTCATTTTGCGCGAGCATGTGGTCATGAGGCGCCCTCTAGTACAATTAGAAAAAGCCATCGAAAGTTTGCTGAAGTGGTAACCGAACAGAGCCGAAGCAACTGTTGCTCATACACTGCGATGTAATAGCTCACAGCGTGGTTACTATATTCCAGCATCAGTTTGATAGCTGACATCTGCTTAGATATAGGTCCGGTGGCCTTAAGCTCTTGCACTGTCGTAGCAATAAGATAAAATTTTGATGTGGACCTCCCAGCCGGTGCTGTGAGGCATTCGTCCAGTCTGTCATGCTAGGCAACGTGGTTTGCCAGCAAAGGCACATAAAATACAGTAATTAGCGGATTTCGTGCATGTAGAAAGATCTACCCTGCAAAGGGTGCATTCAGGCGTGGATATGAAAACATTCGATCCAAAGAAAACCACACGGCGGTCCCAGCACCCCCAGATTTTCTTACATCCGGTATGTTTCAATGGAGGTCATGTACAGTGGTGAGAGGAAGGACGTGCAGGGCCCAACGTAATGCACTCGTACCTCACCACGAGTATGGTCATGAAAAGTCATGACTATGGGCCTGTTAGCGCGATTTTATTGACTTTCATCCGCATTTAGACGCCTTCAAGGAAATATGTTGCATTGAAAAAGCTCAGGTGGCTGGATATACCAGCTGTGTTTGGATGCCCCATTATGAAAGATCAAAAGCCTTGCTGGCTGACAACAGGTTGCAAGTTTTAGCGTCTGATTTAAAGAGAAAAAGTAGGCACACGCATACTTGACACAATACTCTAGTGTTCGAAGAGAAAAATATGCGGTAGTTCATGAAAAAATACAAGCAAGTTAAGGGATTTGCGGCTTTACTTGGAGAGGAAAACAGTTGCACCGATGCCCTTCCCCCCAGCTTACCAACTGGACGACAATAGTACGATGGCGAGGGCCCTTAACCCCGCATCTTAGATTGGCTTTGGGAAAGTACTGTCTGCTTCACGAGGCACAACTCTGGCGAGAACTGAGAGAACGAACTCACCACAGGCTTGATTCATCTCAGACCCCGTAGAAGGCTCTTCTACTCGCTGAAGGAAGACATCAAGACATGCTGATCTACCCGGGCATGCAACCATATGTGTGGGCACGTGGGTGATGCTTGACAGGTTCATAGAGGCGGCCAAGTAGGGCCTTCGGGACGTAGCAACGGCAGAAAGCAGGAAGATGATCTTCGCTTCATTCCCCCCTTTTAAGCTACCAATTGGGTTTCGTCGTGCCCCTCTTCGCTATCCCACCCATTAGATCGCTAACTTCGGGAGGGAGCGTTTTCGAGGTACTAAAAGTTGGTGATGATATGCGAAGTGATACAGGCGTGATTAGTTTTGAGCCTTCCGCTAAATCTGCTGACTTTTCCATTTCCGAGAAAGTACAGAAAATACGGAGCAGCCTCTAGCGAGCAGCAACTTCGCCCGGCGAGAATGGTGGGATTGTTCCTCGAGATTAAGACGGAGTTAGTGTGCTCCCAAGATAAAAAAGCTAAGAAAAGACTTTTCTAGCAACAGCGTCGCCTAGTTATCCAATGTAAGGACTGTACGACTGACGGCCAGAAGCCGCTGCGGTCTGCAGTTGATTTGGGCATACTTCAAGTCTACCCACCAAAGCTAAAACAGCGTAACTTGAGAGTATGTGCACTGTGTAATTGATAAAGGCTGTACATTTCTGTCCTTACGTATGGCGAGCTTGGGCTGTAGGGAGCCCTACTTAAAGGGGGCAAGGAAACCTACATTGTAGGCCGGACCGCCTGAAGGACTTAAAATATCGCAGTTTCATGAGCAAGCGCTGATTAGGAAATTGCGTGGACATGCCGGCCTAGAGAAGACTACTGCGTAAGTACAGACTAGCAACAGGTGAGGGGCGCTGGAAGAATCCCCCGTAGTCAGTTTTCGTGACTGCAGTCGGGACCAGTGTGGGCTTCGGTAAGAGCGCACAACAGCGCTTTTGCTATCCCTTGGCTGGGAACCAAAGACTTGCGCCAGGAAACTCGATATTTTTCATGAGTTCCTATTTCGTTGGCAAGTTTTACCTGTGCCCAACAACGTGGTGTCTGGGAAGTCATGATACTGCTGACTGCGGGCTTAGCACTACTCGTAGCGCAACATATATCACCCAATAGGCGAAAATGCTCTTGACCATAGTGAATAAGATGTTTGTAAACGCCGGCTGAAAAGCTTCAGCGCTACAGTAACTTCTCTGTTTCCATTGATTCCCTTCCCCAAGAATTCGTCGCAGCAGCTGAAACCCGACCCACATGAAACTTGCTCCCCTTCCCCACCACAAAGATCGGCATACAGCAGACAAAGCTTGGCGCACGTCATACAGCAATTGAAATGCAGGAGTTATAAGGGGAACAGGTAAAGCTTGACGCAGTACTGGAGCACGGACAAAGTTAGGCAAGGGAAAGCCGAGGCAAGCGCCAAGTGAAAAGGGAATGGGCGAGTAGATCCATCTTATTTGCTCGTTTCTAAATAATAAAATTAAATGCATGCATACTTAGACTATTAGGTTGGTCGGTTTGGTAGCTGTAGGCGGCGATGGTGCATGGGGGCGGCAGCGACGTGTGTTGGCGTGATCGTGCCGGGCGTGTTTGCTGGTTTGTTGAATGCGCATCTGACCCCCCTACTGTGTCGTTCCGTCTTGTGTTCCTTTGTCGTCTATTTGCTCTTTTCGAGCAATTTAATTGCGACAGAGAGGGCTAGGAAGCCGGGAAACCGCTGCGAGGTTTGGGTGTATGGACAGTATCCTTCCTACCCGCCACGCCTACCCTACTACTACTTGCAACTGCAACAGGAACACTACCGCCGGCCGCGCCCCATTGCGTCTGAGCTGCCAAGCTTTCCGAGTTTGTTTGCTCCTTGTTCTCTAGATCACCCCAGAAATATTTATCTACCCTCAGTTTCGTTCACATCACCGCCGGCACCATGGGGCTCTCTCTCAGCCGGCTCTTCAGCCGCCTCTTTGGGAAACGCGAGATGCGTATTTTGATGGTTGGCCTCGACGCAGCCGGAAAAACTACGATTTTATACAAACTGAAGCTAGGAGAGGTTGTCACCACCATTCCTACAATCGGTAAGCGGCACCGGCCACGCTTCAGCTGCTGTCCACGGGGGAACCCACCGTGTCTTTGCTACCTCTTTTCCTCCGCGCCTTTCCTCCACTGCATTACAGTCTTGCGTGCCGTGTGCACCTTTGTTTGTTTTAAATATATCATCTTCAACTGCCCCGCGGCCTCAAAGCAGCCGTCTCGCCTGCCCAGTGCTCCTGGAGACAGGCAAATGGGCTGCCTGCTGCTGCTGCCCGCTCCAGTTTCTTCAAAATGCTGCTAAATAACATCAAACTGGAGCCAAAAGCTGCTGCATGCAGCGCTGTGCGCTGCGGGGGGCCAGTCGCCTGGCCGGGGGCCTGCTGCTGCTGCTAGTGCTCGGGCCTCGCTGCTGCAGCATATTCGAGTTTGCGGCGCTGCTGCTGCTGCGCTGCAGCGCCAGCAGCCTGCAGCAGGCCCTTGCTGCAGCAGCTCCCCGCTGCAGCAGGGCAGCAGCTCTTGCTGCTCTGCTGCTGCTGCGCCGCAGCCGTCAGCAAATGTGGGGCTTCGAGGGGCTGCTTGCATGCTGCTGCAGCATTTGTCCAAATGGATCTGAGAGACAAAGGGGGCTCTCTGGCGGCGCTGTTTCTCTCTGCTGCAGCAGCAGCAGCTGCTGCTGCTGCTGCAGCTGCCTTGCATGCATGCTGCTGCTGCTGCTGCTGCTGCTGTGCTGCAGGCTTCAATGTGGAGACAGTGGAATTTAAGAACATTTCCTTCACTGTGTGGGACGTGGGAGGCCAGGACAAAATCCGACCTCTTTGGCGCCATTACTTTTCAAATACCCATGGCATCATTTTCGTCGTGGACTCCAACGACAGAGAACGCATTGTTGATGGTCTGCTGCTGCTGCTGCTGCTGCAGTTGCTGCTGCTGCTGCAGTTGCTGCTGCTGCTGCTGCTGCTGCTGCTGCTGGCTTCTCTTTATTGCAGCTACTCGCAGTGTCGGGCTGTTTGTGCCTCTCCGGGGATTTTCGAGTAGCCTTCCGTTCCCGGTGCACTTGCTGCTGCTGCACTTGCTGCTGCTGCACTTGCTGCTGCTGCTGCTGCACTTGCTGCTGCTGCTGCAGCTGCTGCTGCTGCTGTGGGCTGCTGCGGGTGTTGGCGCAGCGAAGGAAGAGCTGCACCGGATGCTGGGGGAGGACGAGCTGCGGGACGCCGTGCTGCTGGTGTTTGCCAACAAACAAGACTTGCCCAACGCAATGAGTGTTCCGGAAATAACTGACAAACTAATGCTTTATTCCATTCGACACAGACACTGGTACATCCAGTCTGCATGCGCGACAGCTGGCGACGGACTCTTCGAGGGCCTCGACTGGCTTTCCACCACGCTGGCCAACAAGTCGTGAGTTTCGGGTGTACGTACACCTCGCTGGCCCTGCATGCGCTCGCGCCCGCCTTCGTTTCGAGTTTCGGGTGTACGTACACCTCGCGGGCGCCCCTCCGTGCGCTCGCGCCGCCTTTTCATTTCAATAAAATGCATTTTTTTTTGCTGCAGAACCGACTGATGCCCGCGCCAGTTGACGCTACTGAGAGCAGTAGTTTATCTGCATGGTGGCCCCCGGAGACGAGGCAGAATGTGGGGGCTGTGGGGCCCCGGGGGCCCCCTGAGGGGCCCCTGAGGAGCCTCTGGGGGCCCCTCAGGGCCCCGGAGGGCCCCTGGGGGCCCCTGAGGGGCCCCTGAGGGGCCCCTGGGGGCCCCTGAGGCTTAGGGGGGCAGGGGTGGATTTGGAATTGCTTCTTCGGGCCTCGGAGGGCGGCCGGAGGCTCGGCGTGGCTGATGTGCGGGGGTGGCTTTGCCAGTAATGAATATAAATCCCTCTTCATTCTTTTTATTTCTGCTGAGGTTCGGTGTGTCGCTTTTTTCTCAATTTGTACACGCCGGGCCCTGCGGGCTCTTTAGTGACCCTGTTCTAAGTACATACCCAAGTGTATGTGGCAAATAGATCTATGCAGCCTCTCGTGCAGCGACACCGGAAATAAAAGTGAAATGCAATTCCTAGAGGTGCACAGAGTCGTTAGAGTGCCAAGAGGCGTGCAACTTGAGTGTCGGTACACCGCGCGCCGTACTGTCGAGGGCCCCCCAAGCACGGCACGGCACTTCTTGTTTGTTTGCATACGAGAGGCGGCTGTGCATGCAAGCAAAACAAATGCATTACTGCGCATTTATGCGTTGCATATGCGTGCCGTGTCTGCATGCAGATCGTATATAGGCACGGAAATACGAACACGCACATGTAAGCATATGTAATTTCATTGATCGTCGGTGGACACGGACGCCAGGACTTCAATAGTTAATAGAGCGGAGTTTATTAGTTAATAGTGCGGACTTTAATAGTTAATAGAGCAGAGTTTATTAGTTAATAGTGCGGAGTTTAATAGTTAATAGTGCGGAGTTTCGCCACTTAATGCTGCGAGCTGCTTAGTGGCGAGCCCTAGGGTAGAGCTTAACAAGTGTAGAGTTTGCTCCGCCCCGTAAATGGCTCTAGAAGTGCAGCGCAGCAGAGTGGCTGGTGGAATAGTTGCGTCGGCGTGTAGCAGTTCTCATGCAGTGAGGGTTTCTTTTGTCTTGTTTTGTTTTTCCTGACCTCGGGAGCTGCATTGTAGACAGTCGTGGGGGACCACTGAGTAGGACTTGAGGCACTAGACTCTGTAGCTTGCAGATTAAAGGTTTGAGACTGTGGACTCCTCCCTGTGGGGTTCCATAGAGGTCTTGAGGGCCGTTGGAGTTCAAGTACAGGTATAGGAGATGATTTATCAAGTGTCTGTACAGTGGCACTTGCGCATTCTAGTTAGCTGGAAACAACAACAGGAACTTCGCAGTTCCAATTAACTGGTGACCACGCCTGGCGTGAGTTGGGGAGCCTGTAATCAGGGCTTCACCAATGGGGGTGTTCCTTTGTGGCTCTAAGAGGCTGGTAGACGTGGGCTGGCCACGGGGTTTTTCATGCGGGTGGGCGTGAGACAAGGATTCTTTCGAAAGAGTGCATGCATCAGACCAATGCAAATGTGCTTCTTTATGAGTAAATGAAGTTGACCAATATAAAACTGTCCTTTTGTTTGAACTGGGCCAGCATGACTGTGAAAACGTAGTAAAAATCATGCTCTTTGGTGTAGTGGGGGGCACCAGCCACTTTTCAAGCTGTCATGAATCACATGTTCTTCGACTTTATCAATAGAGGTATTCTTGCAGACTTTAACGGCGCGTTTTTTAAAGAAAGTACACTAAGTGAGCAAGTCGTGTTGTGGAGTAAACTGCTTGCAATATTGCAACCTGAGCGCATGCATCCTCAAGGTCACGAAGTGTTGACTTGAGTTAGACAGCCTTGATCTCCCGTCACAATTTAATGATTCTACTCCACAAATAAGGTCCTTTTAAGACTAATACATCTATCATGCGGACGAAAGTGTCGAAGCATTAAGAACAGGTTTAACAGCCACTGGGTGGCCCGACTCAGTAGCTGCGAACGTCCAAACCTGGAAGAGCCCTCACTAGATCTTGCTGAGAAAGAAATGGAATTTGAGTAATAAGTTCAGCACAGTGCAGCGACTTCAGCTTACAAACACCGACCTAATGAGTAACTCCTACTACAGACATCCTGCCACATGCATCACTGGGCCAAGGCGCAGCTACTGCCAACTGTGCAAACTCCTTAGTATTTTTCAGACTTTTGCTCCTAGCAAAGGCTTCAGATTCGCATGAATACAAAGTTATGAAGCACCACTTAAAACTGCAAATCAGGGAGGCGAGCAGCGCGATGATAAAACAGATCACGCTGTTACACCAGCTCAGCATTGAATTCCATCCATGGCGCAATCACATAGTGTTGGATGTGCTTTCTAGCTAATCAGTTTACCTGCAGCACGCGAAAAACATGTCCCTAAGCGGGTCAAAGTTATTCGCAAAGTTGTTTTTTGTAGCGATTACAACAGGTGGGTTCAGCAAGGCGAAATGGAAGCGAAGTTTACCACAGCTAACTCAGCAGAACACCACTTCCCTGAGGAGGAAGAAGATAGTGTTTCCAATTTTGTCATTACTGCCGGTGACGTACAAATGGAGCAAGCTCATGCATCACTAACAGCAATGATACAATTACGAATACTACCGTGTACACTGACACTGATATTAATGAGATCTATGGTGCAGCATACGGTGGTAGAACAGAGCCAACGTAGACCCTAAGAAGATAAAATAAAATATGTTTTGGAGAAGTCTTGCTGCGAAACGCGCTTTGAAGAATTGCTGTTGCTTCCCCCCTTTCAGAGCTTGTGGCTTGTTAGCGTTCCTGCGAATATATTTTCATGGTAGCAGTTACTATGAATGCTTCACGATCACTCAGTGGCACTCTACGTAGGTTAATAAGTAGAACTGTGCGCATTTGGCCTAGTGTTCTTTGCAACTGACACAAGGAAAGAGAGCTATTTCTGCGGCCCATTATTCCCAGAAATGACAGGTCAACTGAGCAACCCATCAGGATTATTGAATGTGACGCAGTGACTGAAAAGTGCACAAACAAGTTTAATAATGAAGCTGCCTTATCAAATTATGGGCGACACAACTTCTGGATTTCTAAAAGCTAACGTGCCCTACTGAAAATCTAACAGCATCGGCCCCCTGAAACTGGCACTTGCGGAAACATGCATTGCCTTTTCTAGCATGAAGGCCAGAGCACCTTAAACCTGGGGTGTTATGCGACAAGCATCTTCTCTTGTGAGGGGGAAGGGCCTCTTAAACGAAGTAATAATTTGAAAATTAGCCCTTCACCTAGTGAAATATAAAGAACTCCTGTTTGCTTGGTCTTCACATGGTCAGCTGCCTCTTTTCCATGCAGTACTTATAGCATGGCAGCGAATTGATCCTAGCCTTTCTTTAGTTTGGGAGTCAACCTTAGATCTACTCAACTACTGCAATATATTAGGCACATGTTAGTTATCCAGACATAGCAATGATGCGTAGGGTCCAGGAAGACTCATTTATCTCCCGAGATTTCCCGCGAATATTCCAGAATGAAGATACAGACTCTAATTCCCTGCTCAATCCTGTTGTGCGTCTTGGCTTTTGTCCGAGTTTTATCATGGCAATGGCGTTCGCAGAAAGTGGGGGCTGAGCATCGAGAGATCTCCCAGTTTCACTGTAGATCAACAAACATGCAAGCCACTTCTACATCGCTTGATGCCTCAGGAGCAGAATGCCGTATAGGATTACAAGAGCAAGTTTCAAGAATAAAATGTTGAACATGAATGCCAACTGGACCGCGGTCCCTCTGTCTGCGCCTGTGCAGGGATCAGCTGACAGAGGCTTTGATGTATTGAATCAAAATAAGACAAATGTGTAGAGTTAGTCAATCTGAAATGGAAGGGGCGGCAACAAAGGTGAGGATCTCGCAGTGATTTCTGCCCGGGATCTGTCTGTCGGCGCCGGTGGTTGACGGGTGGTCACGGCTGTTATCTGGTAATGGAAATGATCCATTTGACTTCTCAGAAAATTTTTTCAATACTGATTCAATATTATTGTTTGGGTTTATTTGCACTATATCAAATGACGTTTGCGAGTGCAGGCATGGGCAAATAGCCTACCTCATGTGTTCCTCCGGTGTGTGAGAGGGTTTCTACTGGCTCTCTTCCTTGAGTCTTGCTTTCTGCTCTGCAGCTAATTAGATATTCCCATTTTAGCCACAATGATGGCTTAAGGGAGTTGAAGGCAGAAGCGGCAAACAGCACGCCGCAGGCAGTCCTGGCTGGGAGCGCCAGATGACGTCGCGTCAATGTGGCGGCTGCCCTTCTGTGTCAGTGACGACTGCCGCGCCAGCTGAGAACCAAATGAGTGGTTCAATTCATGTCTTATTCTGTATCCAGTTTGCCCTAAGCGCCCTTCTCTAAGCTGCGTAAGTCGCCAGGGTCCAGGGAGCCGCTGGCGTGTCTTTCAGTTTGCCCAGCGCCAGATGCCTGTGCAGCCATACGCGGAGGGTGGCCCCAACCTGTGCTAGCCGAAAGCCCTTCATTCTTTCTTCGCTAATGAATTCCTAGAGAGAAGAAGGGAGACCAGGTCCCCTCTTCTCCCCACTGGTCTAGGCAGCACAGCCAGAGTCACCGCACACATTGAACGAGGCAGTGCTCATGGGACTTGCTCCTGACCTTCTGCGCGTTTGCTCTTTGCAGAAGGCCATCTAAAGAGCCAATATCATCTGCTTCTTACAGCCCTGCATCATTCCAACAGGCTTATGCTGCCCAGTCACTAAAGCTGCTGGTACCTTCACAGCGATGCACTGGGAGCTGCAACCGAAGCTGCTAAACAGCGGAAACTTTGTATACAGGAGATTGTGGATATATACTGCAATTTATCTGCATATGCTCTGTCGCTCATATCTCTGTGTCTCTCTTCCTTCTCACACACTATCGATCACTGACGACTGGGCATCTCAGGTTCCTGTTTGCATTCCTGTTTCACTGTTTGTATTTGGTGATTGTCTGGCGCTTCAAATCCCACGTCAGAGTATCTTAACTCTACTTGTTGCGAAAACGCTGCCCTGTATCCTTTTGCTGAAACCTTCGCGCCCTTGTCTTTGTGGGCGTTGTCTGCAGGTCGGGAGAACTGTCGCGTCTAATTCAAAATGACAAGTAAAGACACACAGCCTTTTGCCAATTTCAAGTGTATTCAGTCATTCCAGTTTCTTGTGCTGTGGAGCTAGTGGAACGCTGTGCATCCTTGTGTACGAGAACTTATGAAACGTGTGGGAGTTGTGCATGCGCTTGCCTGTGTCTGCTGTAAACTTTGAATTACTGCGTAGACGCTCTAGTTTATATTTGTTTTATTTGCCTTTGTGTGGTGCAGACAAGTACAGCGGCGTTCCTCCAGAGTCCGCCTCAGTGCGGGCGACAACCCCTTTCGAGGGGCAAAAGCCCGGCACTTCTGGTGAGACGAAACAACAGCAGCAACAACTGTTACTGCTACTGCAACAGCATTAACTGCGGCAATTGCAAGAGCGATGTGAAATGCATCATTGGCAGCAGCTGGCAGCCGCCGTGTTCGTAGCTATGCTCGCTGCCTTGTCCACTTCTGTGCCATTTTCTCAATATTTTACGGGAAAGACCCATTGGCTTGCGTACGAACAAAGCGTGTACCTCAATGTCTGTTTAGGACTTCGGAGGAAAACCCGCGAGTTTATGCAGCCGGGCTACCTGTCGAACTACGTCCAAGTAAGCAGCTTGTATTCGCATGCAGTTGTGTGTGTTTATTTTTCTGTTTTGCACCCAAGAGCCACTCGCTAGACCCCGGAAACAAATTTTTTGCTCGTGAATCCGTAATCTTGGCCAACCAGAGCCGTGGCTCTGTACATCTGCAGGCTGTCTTTGACTGTTTGCCGGAGTCCGAAGTCCGCGGGGGCACAATGTTGGTAGCTGGTGACGGTCGTTATTTCTGCAGTGATGCAATTAAGAAGATTGTTGCAATTGCCGCGGGAAATGGCGTTGGGCGGGTTTGGATTGGTAGGTGCCCCTTTATTCGAATATTTGTTCTGCCTGAGCACCCATGGCCTTTCCATTTGCTTTCCGTTTTTGTGCCACCCTAGCCAGCTGCGGGACATGTGTACATTATATGCATTCCCCTATTTGATTCAGCATTGGGGTTTCTGTGCAGCTAAGGACGGCCTCGCCTCCACCCCGGCCTGCAGCGCTATTTTGCGTCTAAGGGAAAATGGAATTGCCTTTGGCGGCTTCATTCTTACTGCCTCTCACAACCCCGGAGGCATCGACGCGGACTTTGGCGTGAAGTACAACACAGCGAATGGAGGTGGGGCTGCAGAGCAGCTGCCCTGCACATTGTGCTGCTACCTTTTTGTGTATTTTGAATGCAAAAAATGGCAAATCGCGTGATACAACTAATGTCTGGGGGATTTAACAATCCTTAGTGCGTTTACTGACACGTTTCCCGGTCCATCCAAGACTGCGTGGAATCCGTTTTGTGTTTTGCGCTGTGTCTCCTGCGGTTGTGCAGCTCCTGCTTTGGAAAACCTGACGGACAAGATATACGAAAGAACAAAAGTTATCAAAGAAATTAAACACGTAAAACTGTTGGATTTCGACTTGGACACGTATGGTACAAAAGTGCTTATTAAGGAACAGTTCATGGTGAGAGGGAGTCCTGCAAGGCTGCGGTAGTCCACTCAGTATAAAACTCAGCTAAGCATACTCAAACTACTACACATATGTAATATCCTCAAGTCCTGCAAGAGGTGTTGACTAAGACTCACAAATATCCAGCTCTTCCAACAGTTTCTCATCAGCTTTTTTTAATATCCTCCCTTTTTGCGCTATTTGTTTCATTTGAGATCATAATTTGTGGGCTCTTACGACTTACGAAGCTTAAGAGTAAGGGCTTAGTGTACAGTTTGGGCTTTAGGGTTGTGTGGCTACAGGCAGAAGTCATCGACGGCACTGAGGACTGGCTGCGTCTGATGAAAGCCGTCTTCCACTTCCCCTCTCTGCGGCGTCTCATTCAATCTCCCTCTTTCTCTTTTGTTTACGACGGAATGAACGGTGTTTCGGGACCCACTGCGGAGCGGCTGTTTGTAGAAGAGCTGGGCGCCAAGCCCACGTGCCTCAGATGCTGCAAGGCGCTGGTAAGCCATAAACCCTAAACTGTCAGGATATTCAAGGCTCCGAACTATCTTCCCTACAGTGAAAATCCCGAAGAAAAAGGCTTGTTATCTCCTGAGCGCACTTCATGTCAAGGTTTCTTAGAGTGTCTTCTTGTCACGCCGGCTCAACTCGTTTCAGAAGACTTGCATAGCTGCTACCACACTCTTGTATTTTTGTGTTTCAGCCAGATTTCGGGGGTCACCATCCCGACCCCAACTTGGAATATGCCAAGGAGCTGGTCGACATGATGAGAATATTCAACCCTGACAAAGTAGACAGCAAAACTCCTCTACTTGGAGCAGCAGGAGACGGCGACTGCGACCGAAATATGATCCTTGGTGTGTTCCTAGTCTCTTTGTTCTGTTTCCATAAAGTTGAAACATTCGTTAAGTTCTACCAGTGGAAGACCGTTGTATTGATTCTCTCGAACTTTAACTGGTGCAAAGCTGAACGCAAACGACTTCCGTAGGGTAGTGGTGTGCAGGGGAAATATGCAGATGCACAGCTTGGTTGGCAACAGACAGTTGTAAAGACTAACGTATCCGCAAATGCACATAAATAGGGTTCTGGAAGGACCTGAAACTTGGCAGTGCATACCGTGCTCCTCATTCGGTGCTCTACCTTCTTGTTGGCTCTCATTGCAGGCCCTGGTTTCTTCGTCACTCCTAGTGACTCAGTGGCTATCATCGCACAGTACGCTGAAAAGGTGATTCCTTTCTTCATGAAGGGCAAAGACGGCAGCGGCGGCATCAAAGGTCTGGCACGGTCCATGCCAACTTCCATGGCTCTTGACAGCGTGGCAAAGAAGCTCGGTAAGTCAACTGGGGCACGCGGTTACCAAAGCCTAGCTTAGTTTCAAGCCAATGACAGAGAGAGCTACAGCCAGACAGTTAAAAAGCTCAAAATGCGAAAGTAGGCATTAAACGAAGTGCACAACAACTAGGCTGAGTGCTGACAGTGACGAACATACGAAGCAACTCATTATCTGCCCTCCTTCCTAGCTGTTTTGGCGCTGCTTAAAACCCAGAATACCAGAACCAGCTCTCCTGGGCACCACGAATAAATCCTTATAAGTTTTCAGATCGCCATCCAATAATTTTGTACACCTTCATGGCATCTTCGTGGCGCAGGAAAGGACATATATGAGACACCCACAGGGTGGAAGTATTTCACGAATCTGATGGACGCTGGGCGGCTCTCGATCTGCGGGGAGGAATCCTTTGGTACTGGCTCTGTACATGTGCGGGAGAAGGATGGATTGTGGGCTGTGTTGTGTTGGTTGTCTATAATTGCATACCGCAACGGGCTGATGGACAACGTAGAGAAGGAACTTGAAATGCAGAAACACGGACAAATCGTGCCCACGCCACCCCCAGAAACGATCGAAAACTTCGTAGGAGTGCAGCAGATAGTTGAGGAATTCTGGAAGGAATTCGGGAGAAATTACTACATGAGGTAAATACGAATTTATCCTACTCGATTTAGCAAGCAGAAACTGCAGCAGCACTATAGCAGCGATTACTGCAGTGATAAAAGAATTTGACCTGCACAATTTGCCGCTGCAGCTGTATATAATCTGGTTTACATGCTCAACATTTTAGAGAAAGAAGTATTAAAACAGTTAAGCAATTTTAGAACTATATTCAGATAACTCGTGGGGCGTTGATACCATATGAAGCATCTTGTGCCGGAAAAGCGCGGGACCGTGCATATTGTGCGCACAACATAAAATAAAATAGCATGAATACTCTTACCTGGCGTGCATTATTTGGAATTAAGATTTATTTGCTCTCAGGTACGACTTCGAGAACAAGTGCAGCGAGTCCGCCAACAAGATGATGGCTTTCCTGAAGTCGCTGGCTGTGGGCGGCCAGGAGGAGCTGCAGAAACACATAAGTGCAGCTGTGCCTCAAGAATTGAGGACTAAACTACAGGCAGAGAAGATAGACGTGTTCAAGTACACAGACCCTATCGATGGATCCGTGGCGGATAACCAAGGCATTAGGCTGTTCTTCCCAAAGGGAAGGGCCATCTGGAGGCTATCAGGTAAACAGACACTATATAAACAGCACCAAATGGATCCAAATTAATGTCCTTGCACTTAATAATGGCTGACATGAATCTACGTTTTGTGTGTTTCATGTCCATAATGGCTGTCCACTGGTGGCTGCACGTAACTCTGCGGATAACAGCATGCTGGTGTTCAATTAGATTCGGTATTCACCGGGATTTCAGCGTGGCTTTATACTGATATTCATTTCGATTTCTTTGTCTCGTGGGTGCTTTCTTGCGCAGGTACCGGTAGCAGCGGTGCAACCATTCGCATGTACTTCGAGCTGGTGGAAGACCGCCCTGATCAGCTTTTGAAGAAACCCCAGGAAATTCTTTCAGAACTAATTGCCTACGCCATTGCCTTCTGCAAAATTAAAGAATATGTGGGCACTGATGTTCCCACTGTCATCACCTAAATGAGCTGCAATGCATGCACTCCGCAGAGCGCCTTCTTGCTTCTGCTTCACTGTGAAAAGGAGAGCATTTCAAGGTCATGCGTGCAAGACTGCATGCAAAAAAAGGAGTTAAACTCCGCAATTTTAAATAATCAGTGAAGACAATTCGAATGTATGCACGTTTTCCATTTCGAAGGGCTACGGAAATGGGGGTAGCCTAGAAAGCGTGCGGCTGCAACTCACCTTCTTGCTCTTCCGCTGCAGCTGCTGCTGTTGCTTAAAGCTAAAATGCCAAGCATTCTACAGCCTGCTGGGGTGTACAAGACCCACGTGTGTCATTTATCTAGTCTACTCAATATGTTATACTCTTTCCCTGACAGTGGTGGCGAGCATTTAGGGTTTAGGGTTTAGGGTTTAGGGTTCAGGATGTACTGTAAGGCGCCTTGCCACTTCAGCCAAAGTTCTTCTAAAGCTTAGCAGCTTCCACAAGTTTGCCGCCAGTAACACAATGTATCAGATGCACTCATTTGTGAATGATAAAGTGCCAAAATAGAAACATCCGTGTTTACTGACAAGGCTAAAAGTAAGTAATAGGCCACGACAACATAACAGAATGATCTGCAGATGAGCCGCAGCAGCACAAAAGACTTTTGAATGCATCTCCAAGTTAAAAGAAAATGTGCAGCCTTGATTAGGAATACGATTCTGTAACATTCAGAATTAGTTGCTGAGTCAATCTGAGGTAATGCATATCCGCAAAAAGTAGAACTCATGGATTTTATTGTTTGCTGCAGAATTTGCACTTGAATGTCTGGGCACTTAGCCAAAAACTTAGCCAAAAACCAAATGAAAGGCTCCATATTGTCTGTATGGCGACGGCGGCATTTGCTGCAGCATCAAAAGGCAGCAGCAGCAAATGTCACGCAGCCGCTGCTGCAGCAGCTGCAGCTGCTGCAGCTGCATTCGGAGCTCTTAACATCTGCTGCTGCTGCTGTCACAGCAGCAGCAGCGGCGGGAATGTGCAAACGAGATTCAAAGCCGAGGAATGTCCATCTCAGTTTCCTTGAATTCGCCTGAATACCAAAAAGTGGGAAAAAGATGAACTAAGAAGAAGCAGTTCAAATGCATGCACTTGTCAGTAATCCTGCAGTGACCATAAAATGAAAAAGGTTATTTTATTGAGCCTTTTGCCTTTTTCATTTATTCTCTTCCACTGAAAATAAAAGTCTTAAACGCATGCAGCAACCGACCAGGCTGTATTGATCACCTTTGTGCAAAAGTTCAGATTATTTTTTTCACCAAATTCAACTTTTTATATTTTCATGTTTCCACGGACAACGCTGCAGCCCATTTCTTCTTAGTAAGCAGGAAAGGGGCAACACATTTATTACTTAGCAGCTGCTCTGCATGCATGCGAAAGCTGCAAACAACCTGAGTGTGCAAACATTTGCATACTTTTGGGATAAATTTAGGGAGGTGGGGCTTCAGAAGTTGTTTAAAATGCGTTCTTTTATATTTGTTGACATCTCACGCAGGCAAAGATCAATGTTACCATGATATAATATATGAATATATTATATATTATACATATGTCTGTAGATTCATGCCTTTGTGCATTCACAAAGCGCAGTGATTGATCTTAAGGCATTGTTCATTAATGTAACAGCGCTGCTATGAGTGATCTGTAGGCACAACGACGGACTTGCAAGTTACTGAAACTGAAATAAACATCTCAATGAGTGATATTGAAGAGAAAATGAAGGTGGAAATGAATGAGAAGTGAATATATATAGCCAGCCATTAAGGTAAAGGCCAGCAGGCTGCTACTGCGACACACTAAGGCGCGTAGGCGGTGGCGGTTCCGGCGGCGTCTGGGTGAAAAAAGACCTTTAACTCTTCCCAAAGCAAAGACTTTAATGCATTTATTTTAACTAATTTGCTATTAAAACTGCTTTCGCCAAAAGAACTGGCCATTCTGTGGGGCTGCGTGGCATGGCGACCGCCGCCAGATCTGAACCGAGGCAGCTGCGCCGAATGCGTGGAAAAAGCCGGCAATTTCGCAGTTTCAGCGAAATCTGAGGCTTTTATGTCATTTGTTTTGGCATTTCTGCGTCTTTTCTGTTGGAGCGTGAGCACTGTGGCATCTGCAATTACCATTTTGGCTCGAGGTGCCGTTGATCAGCAGTCCTGACACCTCTGTGCAGCTGCACTGAGGGTGGACGAGTTGGAACACGCCTCCTAATGTGTTAATTGTACTTTGAAAGCAAATATAACGAAACTTAGGCAGGTCATGAGAAGCTGGTCGCAGCTTTCTCAAGCTACGACTTCGCCTTGTGCCTGAGTGACCACTGGTCACCTGCGTGCGTCGGCGCAGCAGCAGACCCTGCCTGGAGCCGCCATGATGCTAAATGGAGCTCGCCACAAGGGTTTTCTTCCCATGTTGCACTCTAAGAGCAGAAATGGGGGCCCCTCCTCCCTGGGTGGCCGGCGGACGCGGTCAAGTCAGCCGCAGCAGTTTGCAGGTGGGGGGCCCCACCAAACTGAGACCACTGGACTTCCCTCAAACGGCTCGAGGGCCCCTCGCAGAGGTTTTAGGTGGTGGCGGTGGCCCATTTTGAGGCTTTTGAACCAGCCCAGGGCTTGCAACTTCCCCTGGCGCTGCCTCGCAGTGTTTTTGCTGCTGCTGCTCTGCGTCACTGTTCAAGTGTTCTTATTTTTGCACGTCACCCGCAACGCCCACGCCTACCTTGTCTCCACTCCAATTCTCAAGAGCTTCCAGGCCCCCCAGACTTCCTTGCCCGGTGAGTCAGTGCAGCAGCAGCAGCAGCAGCAGCAGCAGCAGCAGCAGGAGTGTGCCTCAGCGAAAAGGCTCAAGACTTAGGAATTAGAGCATTTAAAACGCTGCTTTTCGCGTGGGGAGTTCGCTGTTGTCTCCCCCAGCAGCAGGGAGCACTTGGAGTTGATAATGGCATATTTATTTTGCTTTTTTTTTTATTTTTATTTTATTTTATTTTTTTTTGCAGTGTCCCGTCCAGTGGACCCCGAGCTGCAGCGGCTGCTGGATGAGGAATACGACGCTGCAGCAAAAGCCCAGCCCTACGTGGGCAACGAGGCTTACCTGCAGTCGCTGCGGCCCCGCAGCCGCGGCTGGCTGAACTCTATGGCTGTCTTTCCCGGCAGCAGCAGCAGCAGCAGCAGCAGCAGCAGCAGCAGCAGCAGCAGTTTGCACGGAAAGCTGGGCGTGGACAGCGTCAGGGGGCCCCTCTGGGTGCCTGCGGAAATGCCCGAGCCCATAGACTCTCCGTCTGTAAGAAGAGGCTCCGAAAGCTGCAGCGAATCCTATTTGAGAATTTTTGTTAATTTGGAGTTTTAACTTCGAAATAAATACAATTTAGATTTAAAAACTCAAGTTTTGGGCTTTCAGGGCTTTCTGGGGACCCCTGTAGAGGCAGGAAAGCCCGCAAATGAATTAAGGCACGGTGCCTTCAAGGTTCGGGGTTTAGGGTTTAGGGTCTAGGGTTTAGGGTTTAGGGTTTAGGGTTTAGGGTTTAGGTTTAAAGTTTGGTTTGCTGCACAGGTGAACAAAACTGAAGAACTCAAAAGTGGGGGCGGCTTTTACTTGAAGCTTTCGGACGCTTTGCCTCTTGACAGGAAGCCTCCCGACAGCAGGCAAGGAGTCTTCGGAGTCGTTTTTTTTGATTTTTTCGATTATTTTAATCTTTTTTTGTTTAGAATAATTGCAATTAAGTGAATTTTGTAGTTTCCGTTACTTTTTTTGCAAAAAGTGGCTTTGTTTCCTCCATTTGGCTTCGGTTTCGCTGACTTCTGCAAGCGCACAGTACACCGCTGCAGCTGCTGCGTGCAACTTCCCCAGGGACCCCTCTTGTTTGAAAATCCAATACGACTTGCAAGACTTGAGCGACAGTCTAGACACTTCAATAATAATAACTTACCACAACGAGCCCATGTCGACGCTCCTGCGGTCCATACACTCCATTTTGAACTTCACTCCTCCTCCTCTCATCAGAGAACTCATTCTCGTCGACGACTTTTCCAACAGCACGGCGCTGCTGCCCGGCGGCGAGCTCGACGAGTACTTGCCTTACCTCCCCAAGACCAAACTTGTGAGGCTCCTGCTGCTGCTGCTGCTGCTGCTGCTGCTGCTGCTGCTGCTGCTGCTGCTGCTGCTGCTG